GTTTTTTTTTTTATCTTCTTTCATTTGACACCAAAATCATTTAAATCGGATGAGCCATTATGCCTGAATAAAAATCGAATCATTTCAGAAAAATCAAAATGGCGGCCAAAATTTCACGTGTGTTCCGGATTTTTTTTTCTTCGTTTTTTTGTCATAACTTTGTCTACCTATCAGCATAAAAATTTTTGTCCTATACAAATTACACCGGAAGATATTCAACCGGAAGTGAACATCGTTTTCCTGTTTAAACCGGAAGTGAAATTGAAAATTTGACTGTACCATTTTGTTTACATTCTTAAACTGTCTTTGCTCAATTTTTTTCGGATTAATCAGACAAAAAGCAAAAAAAATGAAAAAAATGCAAAATTTGGCAAAAAAAATGTCTGCGACAAATTTTCGAATTTTGAAATTTTGAAACTGCTATTCTTTCAGATTTTAACAGTAGATTCCAAAAATGCAAACCCAAAGAAAATCGACCGAAAAATACGACTTCTAGAGCCGATTATCTATTCTTGCATATATTGAACTGTGGCACTTCCGGTTTTGCAAAAAAGATCCAAAATATATTTATGCACATCGTTGCCTATATCTAAGGTTCGTGAATGTTGAATGGTTGCTGCAACTATTGTAGTCTAAGCTCAGAAAGGTGTGTAAAAATCGAAAAAAAAAAAAAAAAAAAAAAAAAAAAAAGAATTGACATTTCGATAACAAACTGGGACTTTGCTGAAAGCAAAGTCCCACAAAAATTTGCGAAGTTTGGCAAAGTTGAAGTGGATTAGCAGTGTCCTAGATACACAAAGGAAATTTAGAAAACATTTTTACAATCACTTTAACTTCAAAGTGTCAGTCTCACAAAAAAGGCTGTAAAACCAGATTGATTATTTCAGAGTTTGGAATCATTAAAATCTAATATAAAACAACAGTCATTATTTGATGGTGGAACAGTTTCCTGTAGTGGTGATGAACAGGTAAATAAATTTCATCAAAATATAACTAAAGTACTAATATAACACTGTGCTCAAGAAGCCATGGTTTCTTTAAAGAAGGGCCGTGGAAGCTCAGTGAATCTGAAGATCCAGGGTTCAATCCCAGCATATGTCGAGATAATTCCTTGGACTTATCATCCTGGTTTCCATCTTTGAGTGTTACAGATCATGAGGGTGACATAGACACACTAGTTGTTTGGATGGAGATGAAAAAAAAACTGAATAAGCATTTTAATCCTTTGTTTACCTTTCACACAAAGGTATGGCTGTATCTGTTTATCAAGATTTGGGAATTTCTACTAATGCTTTGATTATCTTAAGTGATACCGGTAGGTTGTGTCTCCAAGTTTCTAATTTTGTTCATTTTTTTGTATTATTTTTTGCAGAAAATAGACTTGTGTCGTAAATTATATAAACTTATCTTCCAACTAGTACAGTTTTTTGAGAATTATTTAAAATTATTAGATGTCTTCCGATCTGTAACTAGATCACCTCAGGTACAGTAGTTATTGATATATACAATATTTGTCAAATAATTTAATATGTTATTAAACATCTATGTGGAACTTGATCGGGAAGCTCTTCTTGTTCAGGATTTATGGATTCAACCAGACATTAAATTATACAAGTTGGATTAGGTTACAGAATTTGTTTTATTTGCACCTAAGAAAAAAGTTGGTGTAGTAGAATCAAAATGGTGGAGAAAGGAATAGAAGTGTAAATTGTGGATGTGACAATTTGTACAGATTTTTTATTGACACATGAAACTGAAACAGATACAAGCATAATCAGAATTAAAAAATTGAACATTTTTTGTCATTATTGCGTGGGTTTTTTTGGCTAAGGACCAAGGATACTTGAAATATCAAGTTATCTTTGTTAAATATGGTTCTTGTATTTTTAGGTTTTGGATATGTCATTACAAGCTACATCAGTTCAAGTTGAGATGTCACAGGCTTTACAAGAACTAGAAAATGGCCAGGCATCACCCTTTAATGTTGATAATAAAGTGGTAACCAAACAGGAGGCCATCACCAGTTTAGCTGAATATTTACAAACACAACAATATCTTAAGGCTGTTCAATTACTTAGATCTTTTAGGTTAGTCTTAGTTTTCTGTAGTGGCTCATCAAATTAAGTGCTTGCTTACTTACCTATATGTGCCCGGTGAATTGATGAAGGATTTCTTTAAAAAAAAAACTGCCTAATCCTTTTGAGGGGATGTCTGTGGTCTGTGCTATACCAACAATCACAAATAAGTAAAATTCACATCTTTTCAGTACTAACATAGAGTACCTTCTTGTAGAATCTTTTCTTGTTGTCATATGAATGTTTGTAGAAACTCAAAATTGGGTCCGGTGGGTCTTCTGGATGTTATTGAATATCTCTGATTAATCTGTAATATATTTCAGGTCAATCTGGCCTAATGATGTATTTGGTATGACATCAGAAGATGATATTGTTGCTCTTCTTAATATTTATTGTAGTAGTTTATCAGACAAGAAAACAGGTATAGTACTTAACTTTGTTCTTCTTCAGAGGGAATTCTGGTACTTATTCTCAGACTAAGGCAGCAAACTTGCTTGATTTCATTTAAATGAATTTGGAATCAATCCACATTTCTTAATTTGTGATGATCCAAGGTAGCTGTTGGCTTTTGATGAGATCTGTCTTTTATAAGATTATTACACTTTGATAAAGGTATCTGGCTACCTTTTTTATGTAAATTCCTTATATTATTGCAATAATAAATATTTCTTACCTATGGAAAGTTACCTTTCTTAAATTTGTAAATCTGGATTATGTTGATTTTACAATAAAGATTTACCAGAACCTAATTTGATGTTGTTTAAATAAACTGTCTGTTTTCAGGAATTTTTGTTTTAACCAGAACAGAACTAGATTTGAATCATCTTCAATCACAACTAATGGGAATTCATATGAAATTAGCCACGACCTGGCCACCAACAATCAACATCAACCCCAGTCCAACACGACCCACAGAAGTTGTCATCAAACAACCTGATTCTAGTGTATTATGACTAGCTACAGAAAGTCCCAAACTCTCCATCTTTCAAAATGAACTGTTTAAATTCTAGTCATTTATTTATTGTCAGATTTCGTCCCCGTGTCATTGTCTCAATTTTTGTTTTAATGAATCAAATTTAGGACACTCAATTTTCATCTGTCTGAATTTGAATATCATTTCAAACTCTCTTGTTGGATAAAGAACAAACAGAATGTCTGCTTCAAAACAGCTATTACCTCAAATCAATGACTGAATATCAGACAGGACCAGAACCATGTCACTATAAGTGTATTGGACCTTATTCTGTTCTACATAAAATAAAGAATTTATTATTATTATGGCATTTCCTGTATATTGGTTTATATTCATAGCAATCAAACATAATGTTAGTATATATTTCTTTAAATATCATACCATCAAACATCAACCATAATTAATTCAGATACAATATTTAAAATCATGTTTTGATAATTTTGTACCAAAATTTCATTAAATATTTAATACAAAGAATGATACTTATGATGGCAATAGGTTGTAATTTTTTTTTAAGTTTCTTTCTGAGATAGCTTACCCATCTTCTGTACTTTATAATTGTGGTATTAACTTTATTTTGATTAGCAGTTATGAATTTCTGGATAGTTATGGTTTTATTTAAAGTCGTGTGTTCACTCAAAAGGCAGTGATAAACCTAATTCCCCCTATAGAAGACTTAGGCAAATTAATACTTCAATACTTTGACTTTGCTGTTTTGTTGTTGTTTATTTTTTATTTATAGAATTAATTTTTGTATATATTATTTAACATATAGTCAATTAAATTATATTAGCATGGCGCCATGGTTATTTTCATTATCTATTTATTACCTATTATCTGGGAATGAATTTAAACATAATATTTCCAAATATATATTCATTAGTGTAAAATTTGGCTTATATAGTCTTGATTGCAATCTATGCTGCCCGGAAAGGATAATATAATGACAGACAAAGAGCAGTCTAATTTGTTTTTGAATAATATAAAGTGGACCATTTGTGTTTGTTTCCATCTTTCCTAAATATTTTTTTGGCTATGGATATCTTTGGTTGACTATATTTATGTTCATTTGCTACTATTCAGGTAATCATATTTTTTTGTCTGTATATTAATTTTGAAGATGAAAATTATACTTGCTAGGTTGTGTTAAATGTCATCTGATTTGTATGTAGTTCTGTTTTGATCATTTATATAGTACACACCATAATTATACTTTTTCTTTCTTTGCTTGTTAAAACTCAAGATAAATAAAAATATAAAAAGAGAAATGATTTGCTTTATTACAATCAAGGAATTTCACCAAATTTTAAACCTTCAATCAAATATCAGTATTTGAATCTTAAATATATTTAAATAGTCTTCAAGAGTACTAGAAATGTTCTTTCAAACATACCTCAAGCTAACTCGTTCCTTTAACAAACTTCAAGCATCCAAAGTTCTCTTAGAAAAGGAGAGTCTTGTATAAAATTCAGATGGATTTAATTCAAATTAATGCACATATCATTTATCATATCACAAATCATGATTTTCACTGGGCCACCATGATGGTACATCTGTTGTACAAACTAGTTTCTGTCCATTTTTATCAACTACAGTTAGTTCTCCCTTAGCTTCAGCTACACGCATTAATCCTAGTCCATATTGATTTACACTATTTCTAAATTTACCTACAGATTTTCCTTTCTCTGATGTTATATTCATTCCTGCCTCTATATCCACTTTATCGCTGAAAAAAAACATAAGAAATAAATCAAACCAATAATCTAACTTGTCCAAGACATTGTTGATTTAAACCAACACACAAAATTTCATAAAATTCTAACATAAACTGTTGCCTCTATCCTGTTCACAAACCACATTTTAGACAATTTAACCTTTAAGGAGCACATTCACTATCCGTTCGACCAATCATATTTTAGTTTCAGAAACAGGAACTTTTTTAGCGTACATAATCAGTAATAGTGTTCACGGCTCATTGTCGAAATTTGAGCCTTCAAATCCATATATAGAAAACACGTATATAGGAATAGACAGTGAGGTTTAGTTTGAGGTATATTTGGAGGGATTATGCAATTTTCGTGCGTTTTGGCACTTCTTGGAGACTATTAAAGCACAATAAAGACCCAAATCAATCTCAGTTCTCCTTTATAAGAAATAAAAACCACAAACTGTAAAGGGAGCTGTACAGTGAGCATTGACCCATGATATTCTAGCACACTGACTATTTATGGAAATTTTTAAGGAAACTCCTTGGCACTTGCTTTAGTGTATGATTGTACTCGAGGCTACAAACCCCAAACTTGAGATAATAAATATGTATCACCTACCTGTGAAAGACTAAAGGCATGAGACGTTTTCTTGTTACACCAGTATGATATGTACGAGCTGTTAATTCTTGTCCTATATAACAACCTTTATCAAAACTAACTGAAATAAACAAACAACCTTTATCAAAACTAACTGAAATAAACTAACAACCTTTATTAATACTAACCGAAATAAACAAACAACCTTTATCAAAACTAACTGAAATAAACTAACAACCTTTATTAATACTAACTGAAATAAACTAACAACCTTTATCAAAACTAACTGAAATAAACAAACAACCTTTAATAATACTAACTGAAATAAACTAACAACCTTTATCAAAACTAACTGAAATAAACAAACAACCTTTATCAAAACTAACTGAAATAAACAAACAACCTTTATCAAAACTAACTGAAATAAACAAACAACCTTTATCAAAACTAACTGAAATAAACTAACAACCTTTATTAATACTAACTGAAATAAACTAACAACCTTTATCAAAACTAACTGAAATAAACAAACAACCTTTATCAAAACTAACTGAAATAAACAAACAACCTTTATCAAAACTAACTGAAATAAACTAACAACCTTTATTAATACTAACTGAAATAAACTAACAACCTTTATCAAAACTAACTGAAATAAACAAACAACCTTTATCAAAACTAACTGAAATAAACCAACAACCTTTATTAATACTAACTGAAATAAACTAACAACCTTTATCAAAACTAACTGAAATAAACAAACAACCTTTATCAAAACTAACTGAAATAAACAAACAGCCTTTAATAATACTAACTGAAATAAACTAACAACCTTTATCAAAACTAACTGAAATAAACAAACAACCTTTATCAAAACTAACTGAAATAAACAAACAACCTTTATCAAAACTAACTGAAATAAACAAACAACCTTTAATAATACTAACTGAAATAAACTAACAACCTTTATCAAAACTAACTGAAATAAACAAACAACCTTTATCAAAACTAACTGAAATAAACAAACAACCTTAATAAAACTAACTGTAATATAAACTTATAATAAACAAAACTGACTGAAATAACTAACAGTTTTTAATATAACTGACTGAAATAATGTAATAAAAAAAAAAATAAATCAGTTTTAACTTACCTCCCTTTAAAAACACTAAGTTACTCTCTAATGGGAAAGAGTTACCAGGAGGTATATCAACAATTCCTTCACCAATTCCTAATCTATATCGTAATTCTCTATATTTCACTTCATCTTCTATATTAATACTGTCATCTGCAAGCATTGGTATTAGGTTAAAGAGATACATTGTACAAGATTTTCTTTTTGCAACCTCTGCAAGATTGCCCATCACATCTGGGCTTTAAATCATTGTAGGCAGCTTTATAGCTGCAAGCTAGTGGAACTAGTAACTACTGCTACAGTCACAATATGACATATAGTAGTATTTACCTGTACTATAGTCACTCGTAACCAAAACTCTGTAACCTAATTCTGGTATTCTGGGGTCAACTGTAGCTAGTCTTATATTAGTATTAGGTACAGCTGGTAGACTCTGTGAGGTATAAATGTTGAAATCTTTACTAATATCACTAATGGTAACCTGTAATTTCATATATTGAACAATTACTTGTAGATTAAAATAAGCAAGGATATGAGGTTTGTCCAGAACAATTTTGGGTTGATGCAACAATCATGGTAAATGACATATTATTGCTTTAAATGTGATTCTTCATTAAAAATGATGTTCTGTTCTCTTGAAAATAAACGTAAGTTTGGTACTTACTTGATAACTCTTTACTGCTTTAAATGAAATGAAACCGAGAGATATAAAGATTCATACCACCACCTAGTTTAGATAAGTTTTTAAACTTCAAGAGAATTGCATGGACTAACCTTTTTTCTAATTTTATATTTTTTGATAGTTTGAATCAGTTCATCTTTAATTTGACTATCACATTCTATCCAAACAGTAGATGGAAGTGTGTTTTCATCACATGTTTCACTTGGTATATAATATAACAATAGATCATATAAAACACGACCCTAGAATAAAAATAAGCTTAGATTATATTTAATTTCTAATCGGGAGTTTTCTGAGAGGTTGAAGGAATTTGATTGGTTAAAGAAGATGTCATCAGATTTGGTTAAAAGGTTATGGTCAAGACTCTGGTCATTAGACCCAAGGCCTACTCTGAAGTGGCTATAGGCTACAATAAATAAAAACTAATAAAAAAAAATGAAAGATGGGTCTAATTTCAATTAGACTGACTAAACTGAGTTTTGAAAATGACAATCAAACATTACCTGAACATTTAACATCATGGAGTATTGAGATAATTTTTTATCATTTAACAATGTAACATCACTAGTTATTAAACCTTGTAGTAGATCTGTTGTATCTCGCCCTTTGAGTTCAACCAAACTCCTTGATTTTAACGAGCACATATTCAATTTAACTTGTGCTGTGCCACTGAATTGCCTTGATATATTGAAGAAATTTTTTTTACAAGTGCATTTTGAAGGGTGGTATAATTGCTTCGCCTTTAAAATGCTGGCTAACATTTGTCTGCTAACTTGAATCATAGTGACAAAATTCTGAAATGGAAATTAGAATATTTTAAACAAAATAATGAGAGGTTTTTGTTAGATAGGTCAATTTCACAAACGCTTGATGTCCCGGCTTAAAATATAGATAAATATTACACCTCTGATATCAGTCGTAGGCATGCTTCAAACCATCAAGTGGTGCACAAGGCCCATCAGGCCTATCACCATTAGGCTAGGCCTATGTAACAAAACAGTCAACAACTTTAATGAGATAAACTATAACATTCAATTAAAGTGATCATACCCTACACAGAGAAATAGCCTCATCTAGCTTGCACTGATGTAAGTGGTATTTCACAATTAAATGGAAGGCTTTGGGTTTTTCTTTGAATTTCATAATAATAAGCCTATTTCGAATGTGGAATGATTGAATATTTCACTAACTTCATGTTGAAAATTAAGATTTTGTTTGCATTATTGGAAATGAAAAGATTGATAAGAAATCAAATGGAATCAACATGTTCACAGAGTCATCAAATAAGTGTCTGAACCAATATTGTGCTATTGTATAACCTTCAGTAATTATTGCATCAGAAAAACAGCAGACGAAATTTCATCAACATCATTTTACGAAAGTAGAACAGCTGAAAACTTCAAAGATGGCTGCCTTCTATGTCGTGGCTGCTACAATTTCATGTTTCAAGTTACTTTTTCTTCCAGCCTAGTAAGCAACATTATTTATCTTAAGTACAGGGCTAATTTTTAATAAGACCTTCCATTTGCACTAAAGTTGAAAGCGTTTCAATGCGTAGCTTTTCATTAAACAGGCTTTGAAGTTCAGAAAAACCATTGTTTACATCTTTTTCCTTGAGTTACCTCCCCTTAAAAAGTTCAATTCTCAATTGAGAATGAATGAATGGTGGATTTAATTTCAATAAGATTTAACTGTAGATTTACCTATTGTGTATTACATTATAATTAAGACTCTACTTACTAGGTTCTATTTTAATTCAAACTATGCTCTTAATGGATTTCCTACATTTTGACCTCGGTAACAAACTAACAACAGAATAGCCAAGGTGCATTGCACAGGGCCATAACTTTTTTAAAAGTAGGCTACCAAGAATGTTATATTGCCCTGCCCTGGCATTGGTATATTTGTATGTGGAAATTAGAAGATTAAGAAGAAATTCATAGAATGGACTAATGAATTTCAGTGGAGGTAACAGAAATGCATTTTCTGATCAATATAAGTCGTTTTCACAAGACTTGTTTTGCCGACTATTGATTGCTGTGATTGTCATTTTACTAAAACATCTCCTAAATCATTTTTAAGTCGATCGACAGATTTTGAAGTTCATAGAAACTGGCTAGCCATAACTCATAGTTTACCTGTTAATAAATGGTACACTGAGGTGAGTAAAACTTTGTTTTCTAGTATAATCCAGAAAATACTTAACTCACACATATTTCTGATAGCCTGACCATTTTTTATTTTTTTATTTAACCTCTTGTCATTTTATAGAAAATCATACATGAACTCTTATTTGCTTGACTTTTGATTTTCAATATAATTTCACTTTCAGGCCACATCAGAATGGACATTAGATTACCCTCCATTTTTTGCCTGGTTTGAATATGGTTTGTCTCAAATTGCTCAGTATTTTGATGAAGAGATGTTGAAAGTTGAAAATCTAAATTATTCCAGTGAAGCTACCATTTTATTTCAACGAATGTCTGTGATTTTCACTGATTTTATTTTCATTTATGCTGTCAAAAAGTAAGACTCGCTACATTTAGAATATCAATCCCACTGCATAAAAGAAAAATCGAGCAACAATACATTTAGTGTCTTACTCATAATTTGTTAATACATTTCCTATACCAAAATGAGTAGAAATAGTTAGTTGTTTGTAATAGGTAATCTTTATTTTCTTGCAGGCAACAGTATCAAAATCTTCGTTCATGATAAAATTTGCTTTGTTTACTTTATATTAATTTTGTTTATAGTTATGTCTTGATATGATTGTTTTAGATTTTGTGATGTATATATTAGTAAAAGTGGTAAAAAGAAAGGAAGTCAACCCAGTTCAAATGATGTCTACAAAAATCCTTATTTGATTATAGCTATATTATTGATAGGAAATATAGGTCTACTCATTGTTGACCGTATCCTTTTGATTTCTTTTGATTCTTAACATTTTTAAAATTGACATCACCATTAAATTTTTGAACATGTATGCTTTTCTATCATTATAACAGCTGGTTTATTTTGTGAAACAGGCTCCTGGTTTCAAAATTTCTGATTTAATTTCCTCAACTACAGACAGACATTCATTTTCAATACAATGGATTTTTGATGGGAATATTTTTATTGTCTATAGTTAAAATGTATGAGGTATGTACCACTAACATAATATCATGGACGTGCTGCATTACTTGGACTGAATTTCAAGGTTTAAGACATTATTCAAGATTCCAAAGTCCATTTCTCAGTTAGAATTTAGACTAGATTTTCCTCATCAATTAAACTGTGATAGCATGTTATTATTGATATTATTTCGGTTCCTATTTGTAGTGTGTGTTGAGCAGGTGCGGTGCAGCCAGGGTAGGCTTACTCTTCTAGAGACCTGATACCACTTTTCATTATTATTTCTTACTCAGTTATGATTGATATACTTCCTCATTTGAAAAGTTCATTAATTGCCAGCAATTTTTCGTCGAAATGTTGTTTTGGATTTCAGGTTTTGTTTTGTGGTTCGGATCGTTGGTACTAGGTTTATTTATGAATAAGTCTAATTAAGTACTATTTTAACTTCAAACATGAAGGATGTGAACGTTTCTGAACATAGTGAACAATTTTAATATATATCATTTCAGAACAAATATCTACAGTCAGCCCTGTTGTTTTGTGTATTGTTGAATTTAAAACACATATATTTATATGTATCTCCAGTATATTTTATATATTTATTGACATCATACTGTTATAATCCAGGTAATAGATAATCAAATATTTTTACTGTTGAAACAGAACTCAATACATTAATTGTAGAGTGATAAAGAAATATTGATAATTACAAGAGAACCTGAAACATGTTGTTTCTCAGAGTTTAATTTTGAATGAATTCTAGTTTCTTTCTGAATGATTTTTTTTTTTTTAACTCATGAAATTGATTATTTTTTATGTTTTTACAGGTGGTAAAATGGTGATTTTTCGTTTTTCTGTTTTAAAAATATTTTATCTTGGTGTTATAGTGATATCAGTGTTCAGTTTATCATTTGCACCATTCATATATATGGTATGCAACTTTCTTTAGTCATAAATCAAAATGAAATAAAATATATTTTTGTTTCATTTAACCATGAATTAAAATGACTTAAATTATTTCTAAGCAGTGCCACATTATTACGCAGTTTGAAAACCAAATTGAGCATATCATACTAGAGTTTTACAGTGATTTACATAAATGTTTATGAATAACATATCGATATATAGAGTGGAAGATTTATTTATTTCAGGGCCAGTTATCTCAAGTTTTATCTAGATTATTTCCCTTTAAGAGAGGTTTATGTCATGCTTACTGGGCACCAAATTTCTGGGCATTATATAATATAGCTGATAAAGCATTATTCATCATAGGTAAGTGTTAATTGGTAGATAATATCTATATTAGCCATATGTATCACTTTTCAGAATATAATCTATATATCATGAATTACTTCTGTGAAACCAGCAGATTTAGTTTGGTAAGAAATAGCCTATGATGTACCAAGATTTTCCAAAATTGAATTGTGGTAAAAGGTAAAACTCATGAAGTCCTTATTCTTGTTCTTATCAATTGTTTTTTTTTACTTTCTTTTAATGCTTAATTTCAGACTTGACAAAATTTGATTTTGTGAAAAGAAATCCCCAAACTATCTCCTTAAAGCCAATATATTTTATAGCTTTTTCAGACACAATATCTCTGATATTATGCTGACATTTTATTTAGTTATTTATAATTTCAGGTAGTAAATTAAAACTCTTACCACCAACATTATCAGACTCAGGTTTCATGACTGGTGGATTAGTACAGGAATTTAGTCATACAGTTCTACCCTCTATAAAACCTTTCTATACTGTTATACTGACATTGATAGCTATGTTGGTGAGTAATTTTAAACCTACTGCAGACAACAGTAATATCATTTAAAGGAGTCATGTCTCTTTACAGCTTCAATATAATATCAACATCTACCAATACTGGTGAGAAATCATTTTTCTTGTAGTTTATTCATTAATGTAATGTCTGTGCTTTTTTCTTTCAGCCTGCTTTGTTCAATTTATTTCTGAACCGTAAAAAAGGATCTGTTGGTTTTGTGAGATGTTTAATATTATGTGCTTATGCATCATTCTTATTTGGATGGCATGTTCATGAAAAGGCCATTTTAATCATCATTATACCAATGATGTAAGTAAAAGTAATACAGTGTACTCTGTGATATCCAACATCTGAGTATTCTGACATTCTGCACAATCAGACAATATTTACCGGTCCGAATTTGTTAAGGCTAGTTAAAAAAAAATCTGAGTATTCCAACATTCTGTGTATTCCGAATTACAACAGAATCAGTGGCCCCGTTACCCAAAAAAATCTGTATAATCCCACATCTACTCATCTCAATTACTTTTTGCCAGTTGTATTGTGTAGTTTTCACAAGGAAACAAATTGAGACCAACTGACTTAGTTGTGAGTGATTCTGCTATAATTTGGGAAAACCATTCACTAATTTTTTTAAGTACTAACTGTTGCATTTAATTTCAGTTTTTTAATGGAATTACAAAATATTTTCTTCTTAAATGGTCTATTTTACTTGGTACAATATAAATAGTTTTTAACTTCCATTTTAAAGGCTTTATTTCTTATAATTTTCAGATTATTAGTGTTTGAAAGTAAAGAAGATGGTAGAATTTATTTAATTTTATCAACAATAGGATATTATTCCTTATTTCCATTATTATTTACACAATTTGGTAAGTTGCCTGAAAATTAGATTTTCTTCAGGTCTGTTGCATTTAGCAATCAACAAATTGGAAGCTATCCTAACCCAAGATATATGAGATATATGTTGGTACTCTGTTGATTGAAATGAAAAAAACAATCCTTCATACCAATTGCTTTCTGACACAATGTGTTTTTTTTTTTTCAGAAACGCCAATAAAAGTATTGTTTTTGTTATTGCATTGTTTTTATTCATTTTATACCCTGTCTAATATTCACAAGTAAGTCTTTAACATTTAATCATGTCTGTTTATTTTTGTCAGAATTTATTAAAAGTTCTAATCTTCCAGAATAGATCAAACCTTTGAGGGACTTATTTCTAACTCATCTCAACTATATACAAGAATACTAAGTTTTAAAGGAATCTTAAGAAAAGATCATTTTCTTTCCATCCACATGTTATTTAGCTACATCATTGATCAAGCATCCAAATGATTTGATATAATATGATATATAGTTACTAATAAAACTTAAGACTTTTCCGAGATTGGAAAAATGCAATTTTAAGAAAAGAAACCCCAATAATGGCATCGCATAAACTAGAACCTATTACTAGGACTTGTACATTATATGTTAATAAATTAATTATATATTCCAAGATTTTTTCTTCTTTTTCAGATCTTCTGAAAGATTATTACCTATTGTGTCTTGGTTGGAATCAGTATATTTGTTAGGAATAGTGCCTTTGGAATTTTACAATTCTGTTATCCATTCTTTGTTAAAATTGGATGAAAAATTTCCCTTTATTCCTCTGTTATTGACCTCCATATATTGTTCTCTTGGAGTTGTTTATACTTGGTTACGATTTTATTTTTCATTTTTACAGTCCCAAAGCCCAAAACACAAAACTAGCTAGCATTATAATAAATAGATAAATTTACATACTTTGTTTTTTATATCGTCAATTGCTTGTACCCTTTCAAGCTCACAGCATCTTCACCCTGGCGAATTCTTGATTATTATGAATTTTGTTTTAAAAAATGGTTCTACCAGGTGTACAGGTTTCGAACATTTGAATACTAGTTTCCTCTGGCTGGGGGCAGTTTGTCATCTTCAGATCAAAACGGTCACAAGCTGTTGAAATGAATTGTAGCAGAGCGATATGTTAAGTGGTTGAGAGCTCATCAGATTCACATAAAGCAAAAATTATTCTCACAACTGAAATGTACCAGTGTGCCAAACACAGTTCTGATTCCTAGTTGCACACAATATATTGTATGCTTGTAACAGAGAGGTGATCCATAATGCACATGGACATAATGTAGAAAATCAAGAAAGATTTGCGCTCAATTAGCATATAAATGGCAAGAACTAAGTGTTTTTTTCTTGTTCATTTGTTGAATCTATATATAATTTCAATTGATTATTAAAATTTTGAAATGAGACTATTCGGATAATGTGGTTTCAGAAACTTAAGGATTGAAAGTAGAATTTGTATACCACCCTAGGCGATGATACACGAGCTGTTGACATTTGGATTTCTTTAATTCACATTCAATCCGTAATATTTTTTTGTGTCTGTATGGAAGGACAAGATAGAGAATATATGGTCGAATAAAATTTCTGGTAAATCCTGAAAATATATCAAATTCTGTTATGTAAGTTTTTTCAAGACTCATCTTGCAAACCATGACAAAAGTATTACTCTGAGCAGGGGGATTGTAAAGAGAATCTGAACAATATTGTAGGTCGATAAAATGCAATATGGAGAACAATCGATGACAATGTCAATGTGACCAGGTATAACGATGCTATACTGCCATTATTGTCTTGTTGGCCTAGCCAATAATAGGGGCCTAAAGCCATCTTAAAATACTTGAGTAGAATTGAAAGGATTTGACCTGGAATTAATGACCACCAGAAATGACTGCAGAGTCAGAATTGTGCTTAAAAGTAGGATGCAAAAGTTTTTCTCAGCAGATAAACATTGTTTTTTTCTTTTTTTTCTTTTCAGTCACATTATACAGAAATAAAATGAATGTGTTAACAAATGGATTGAAATGTTTCATAGAATCACATGATGACAATGCTTCTATTGACTCACAGACATTCTACACTGTAGAATTATCAGCAAAAATTAAAATACCACATAGTCTCAAATATAAAGTAAAGAATGGATTGAAAATATGGCAAAAGCATATTGAAATATTGGATATCAGAATTGAAGAAATTGTGAACCTCACGTTAGGTAATGGTCCATTAGAAGATGTACCACATAAGATCATAACTGTGAAACCCCAAAACCACAGAAAAAAATCAACATTTTCACCCAACTCGTTCTTGTCAACGGATCAATTTGGCATTTATATTGACATTCCTGAAATTCAGAGTGATTCACAAGATGTCAGTGCTACTTATGATAATGAAAACTCTTCCAACAGTGACAAGGAGGTTCTCAAATCTTATGATTTTAATGAAGAGCGAATGACACAGGTTGATGATAATTATGAGTATGATGATTTTATACCAAATGATGACAGTGATGATTCATGGAGTCCACTTAATGAACACAGACCGAAAAAATCTCATCCTGTCAGACAGGCAACCAGAACTCAACGACTGTCATCAAGAATTAGAACTAAAAGTGGAATCAATAAAGAAGCTGATGAGGAGGCAGATGATGAAATTCCATGTGATACCAAATCTGACAAACACAAGAATGGACTTAAAGTACCTTCCAATACCCAAAAAAATTCTTCAAATTTGCAAAATTCAGGAGGACATGATGCATGGCTTAAAACTAAACATAGAAGAGTTTCCAAACCAAAAACTGTTACTAGGACTAAAGGGGATGAGTCTTCTATTGACACTGAAGAAGATACAACCTGGATGAAAACTAAAGGAAGAACTAAATCTTCTGTACGGAAAGTGAAATCTTCCACTGGGAAGGTAGCACGACAAAAACGTAGAGCTTCTGATGTTAGAGTGAAACATGTTCTGACTTGTAAAAATTGTGGGGAAACATTTGATAAAATTAGGAATTATAATTTCCATTTGGACACTCATGAAACGAAGCCAGAAATAAAAAATATTCCGGACCAGAATAATAGCTCATCTGTTCCAACTGAATCTGTGCCTGATATACACATGATTGTTACATCAACCCCTGAGGTGATGAGAGAAGAATTAAAAGAAATTCAGTTGCTTGAAGTCCAAGAATCCAGCAGGCTCTCTGAAATTCAACAGGAGACTAGAATTGCTTCAGTAACAGAAAACACAAACCAGAAATCCTTAGTTCTTTCATTTGTGAAAAATGTTTCTTCTACAGAACACCCTTTTCAAAAAACTATGATAAAATTTGAAGATTCCCCACAAGATTTGGTTGATTCTGTTGCCAGTGTCAATACCAATGACATAGAGACAATGGAACTAGATAACAGTAATGAAGAAGAAATCAGGGCAAATGAAACTTTGCTTGATGAAAAGGAAGATGCAGTTGCAGATGAATCCAAGGAACAAGCATTATCTAACAAAGATTTTCCGAAGAGAAAGAAAAACTATGATATACTGACTTGTGAGCATTGTGGAAAATTTTTTAGTCGCATTGTCGTGTATACTAACCATATTCTTACTCATAGTACAGAGCGACCATTTCAGTGCAATACTTGTAACAAAGCCTTCAAAAACAAACCAACGTTAACTTCTCACCAGCTTATAACTCATAGCAGCCAAATATTTCAATGTGATATTTGCAGCAAATGTTTCACATTGAAAGGCACCTTGAAAAGTCATGTTGCAACAGTTCATAATGGTGAACGTAATGAAATATGTCATATTTGTGGAAAAAGTTTCAGTAGGAAAGAACATTTAAGAAAACACATTTCTCTACATTCAGACTTCAAACCCTTTAAATGTGATGCTTGTGATCGGCATTTTCAGACTGAAGTACTTTTAAAAACTCACAAAAAACATCATTTTTTGGAAGCAAAACACATTTGTGATATTTGTGGAAGAGCTTTCAAAACACCATCTAATTTGAAATCACATCAGTTATCTCATTCAGGGGTACGGAATTTCTCATGTTCAATTTGCAATATGGCCTTCATTCACAAAGCATCTTTGAAAAAACACCTGCGTACACATGACTCTAATCGAAAAGTAGTACAGTGTAACTTGTGTAGTAAAATTTTCAAAAATCGAACCAACTTAAATCGACACAATATTACAGCACATAGTGACTTGAAACCTTTTCAGTGTGAATTTTGCTCTAAAACTTTTAAACTAAAATCTCTTCTAGATCAACATGCAAATCTGCATAAATTGGAGAAAAACTATTCTTGTAAATATTGTGATAAAAAATTTGCTTTCAACAGTAGCCTGTATTCTCATGTCAAGTGTCATCATAAAGAAAAGTTAAATGTAAGTGACCTTGAAACAGGGGTTAAATGCTACTTATGTGGAAACTTTTTTGAATCTAATTTTGCCTTAGCTTCTCATGTTAGAACTCACAATAATAATGTAGCTATTTAAAGAATAAATCTTTTTAAGCTGACAGAACTAATTCCATATCAATTTTGTTTCAGAGGCCAAGACTTTTCAGTTTTTTGTCAGTTAATGACATTATTTTTTATCTCAAGATAACTTTTGTGTAATAAGTTGTTTTTACATCGTCGAATAGACCTACTACTTATGTCAAATGCCCTAAGTAAGGCTACAATTTTATTGGTGGAACATAATATTCCATAGTTAAAATGGAATAGATCTAACATTGAAAGAATACTCATTCAAACTACATAAAACGCCCTTCGAATGGATTTGAAGGGGAAAAGTGTTGTGCACCCCATCCTTATAATACAATAGTATGAGTAGACTCATGTTTTTCATTTTGTTTTTAAGAAAACGTTGTTGGCTACTCTTTGGGTAGGTCGAAGGTCCAGTTGTTTGGCATTAATATAGTGTTTGAAAATCATCCCTATTTAAAGTGATACTTACTACATAAAATTTAAGAATTTTAAACTTGGTCAATAATAGCTAGTAGATATACCTGGTGTCATTAATAACATAACAGGATCCTTATATAATCCGATAAATCCAAAAAAACTTAGTTATTATCCATAAATATGCAATTAACTATTGAAAAACGCTTAATATCAAGATTAATGGTTTTTCAATAATTACTTAGTTTTATGAATTTTCTCAATTTTACAGGAATTCTGTTGTAACATTATAATACCAGGTATACTAACTGATGAGTATATACTCATATTGACCATTTCGAGAACTTAAATTGTATGTTCATTCTAAGACGTAGTATCACTTTAACTATTGTCCATACACATCTATTCTGCTTTTGTGAATGGCTAGAATATTTCGGACTAAAGTTCAAGTTCAAGGTCCAAATGGGCGTGGTTAATTTGGCTCAATGTTTACGTTTTTTAGTGCTGAAGTGAAAAGAGGTAAATATTTCTTCATCATTCAAGTTTATCCTTTATCAATTGTTGAAATTTCATTTTTATATCTTTATTACAAGTGAATATCAACACAAATTTTGTTTGGAGCGAAATTTTGATAGCATAAAATTATCTCATTTGTCTAATCGGACAGTGGCCAAATGGCCCATGGCGATGTTGTGCAATATGAGATCAAGAAATTAGTCAAATCGTACATATAAAAGATTCATCGTTAAATTGTAGGAAACGTGTTTTTGTTTTCTTTTAGCTGGTTTGAAACATGTAACTTTACTAACACCAGAGTGGAAATTAAAAGTAGTATGTGAAACTGCAGTTGCAAACTGGCATCAAGTGCTTTGGAAAGATAATCTATGGTAGCAGTATGTTCAAGAAGAATAGAAATAAGAACCAGCAGAGTGGAAGCAGAGAGTCTGTTGACAGCTCTGGTGTCTCAAGTAGTGAAAATCTTGCTGTAGGAAAAGATGTGAAAGACAGTGATGGCAAGATTCTACACTTAGAAATTCGATTTAAAGTGTCATTCTTGGGAAAAATTAACGAACTTAGCGTAATTCATTCAAAAAAACGTGATACTGAGGCTCAGTTGATTGACAAAATAGAGGAAGCTCAAATTAAAGGGGCAATACCACTTTCATCAAAGGAAGCTATTGAAGTGAATATTCATATAAATAGACACGGAATCAAAGTCATTGACTTAAATGGACAAGATGTGCTCCAACGCCATCCACTTCATACCATTTGTCAAATGATAACTTACATTGATGGAATTGGAAAACAGAATTTTGCGTTAAAAACTGGTCAAGTTGGAAAAAATGAGTTTCAATGTTACATATTTCAGTGTCATTCTGAAGACCAAGCTCAGTCTATCTGTTTATGTGTTAAAAAAATATTTGATGCTATTGCTAAAATTTGACAATAACATGATTTTGCATTTCATCTAAGATTATTTCATCTCAGACCAAAATTACTATGAACTATATGGTGCTTTTTTATATTTATTTATTATAAATTTAATGGAAATTAAAACTCTTCAATCATCAAAGTTTTTTAATTCATACAAAATATCCTTAAATTTGTTTTGCCTTCATGCATCTGTGGATCACACAGAACTTGTGTGTACACGCTTCATTTGAATTAATAATGTGTCCAATTCAGGGCCATTGATTTGGCTCTATTTGCCAGACATGACCAGCTGAACATTTTTCAAGGGGATTCAAAAAGACATTCAAGTCATCAAAATTTTTCAAGGGGAGGGTCAAAAATTTCCTCTTAGCCACTCACCTGCTAAGCACACTTAAGGCTCTTAGATTAGAACAGCATGTATTCATCAATCAATTGTTATGATGTAGCCATAGTAATTTTCACTGTGTAAGTATAAACCTTAATATAAGTAGGTAAATATTTATCAATCCGTAAATTTTCTGGAGGTAGTCTTGATTATCACACCTATGACTCTGCATTTGAAATTGATAGGACTGGGTAATCTTCCAACCCGGAAAGGTACTTTTACTTTCCGGATGTAAACAAACTTCGCGACTAAGGTCTCGTCTCGTAAATTGTAGTTTTCTGGCAATATTTAAGACATTTTTCAGTATTGATATAAAAGACTACCGAAAAAGTAAGAATTTACTTACTTATTAGTAAGCAAGTGCCTGGCTCCAGCAGTTAAGGCTCTATGACAGGCTCCATCCATATGATATAGATAACAATATTTGGAATATTATTTTAGATTGAAAAATTTTGATATTTTTCATGGAAATTTCTTGGAGGAATGTGTCTTTACTTCAAATGTTAAATTTTAATCTTTATAGTTACATTTTTTGTGGACACAAAATATATTCAAATGTATTTTTTATATTGAATATATTTGAGATGAGGCAAAGAATTATGTTTTGAGCTCATTGTAGTCAGAGAGTAGTTAATCCATTTTAGTATGGTAACTTTTTTCTAGTCAAAATGTCAGCTAGTAAACTGTTGAAGGATTATCAAGAAGAAAGAAGTAATAAGAGTCTACCAGCTTTGTTAAAGAGAGAATTATTTACAATCGATCATGCCACTCAAACAGCTCCAGACTTCCGTGTGATGCAATGGAACATGTTAGCTCAAGGTACGATGATGAAGTTGATTTGCTAACTCTCCCTTAGTAGACATGAAAGCTTGCTTAGAATAGATTTTCATTACAGAACTGTCATCAGAACACATAAATTATTTAAACAAGTAGCATTGAATACAACATTCAACCGCAGCCTATTTTACAGTAATAATAATAAACTCTACATTTTGACTATATGGGTTAGAACTACATTTCACCACATCTGTTAAGTTTGTAGATAATTTCTATTCTATCATCAAATTCTATTTAAGGGAATTCTAGGGTTTCATAGCCTTAAAGCATGTATAACATAAATCTGTTACATTTGATTTACTTCTTGTTCTGTTGGGGACTGATTTTTCCAAGATTTTCCACACTCAAACAAATTCTGTCTGCCATCTATATTCAGGCTTTCCTAAAGGCGATAAATCTTTATACAGACTCAATATCTTAATACCACAATATTACAGTATGATAGACCCTGATATTACAAACTATTAAGTATTTCTATTGTATCTGCAAATGTGAATAGTAAGGTTTATTTGTTTGCATTATGTTTCAGCATTAAGTCAAGGTACAGATAATTTTGTAAAATGTCCAGCTGAAGCTTTATCCTGGGATAATCGAAAATTACATATCATGGAAGAAATCCTTACCCACAATCCAACTATCCTCTGTCTTCAAGAAGTTGACCAATTTAACTTTCTAGAAAAGGAGTTAGGGAAAGTAGGTTATAAAGGAACATTTTGCAAAAAGCCCTTCTCACCCTGTCTAGACATTACCCCTAATTTTGGACCTGATGGTTGTGCTGTGTTCTGGAAAACTTCAGAAGTCAAAGAAGTTAAAGTAGAAAATTACATCATTAAACAAAAAGAAAACTATGACACCAATCAGATATGTATTTTGTGCTGCATGAAGTTGAAAAATATTGACAGTGACATTTTTGTGGCTGTAACTCATCTCAAAGCAAAAAAATACTTTAATGAATTGAGAAAGCAACAAAGTCAATTTATAGCCAAACTTTTACAAGAGAAATGTAAGAACAGTCCTGTGATATTATGTGGAGATTTTAATGCTGATCCTCAAGAACTAGCATATAAAGAAATGGTAACAAAAGATTTAAACCTGAATAGTGCTTATACATTTTTAGACAATTTACACAAGGAACCGGCATATACCACCTTAAAGATAAGAGGAAGTCCTGTAGGCCCTTTAAAAAACTCTGCAACTATTGATTATATATTTTTTAGCTTAAACCATTTAAAAGTTACTTCCCTTGTACGTCTGCCAAGTGAAGAGGAAATTGGTGAAGATTGTCTGCCATCTTTTACGTTTCCATCTGATCATTTATCTTTAATTGCTGATTTCCATTTTATAAATAGGGGTGTTAATCTTTGAAAAACACCAATTTATCTTCGACAGTGCTTCTTGCTATTAGCTTATGCCTTCCGTACCAAAGATTTTATTTTCTTAGTAGATAGTTAATTGTACACACCTGTGAAACTTAAAGGGATTATACCGGTATAGAGGTTTTCTAAACTTTTATGTGTATCGGGAACACTGATAGCATAGATTGGCACCATTCTGATTCAGACGTCTGTGGTCTCTGCAATTGCACTAAGCATTTGATGACATCACCATTGCAAAATAATCTCAAAGGCCCTTTGCAAGAACCGCATACATCTGATCGAAAATTGAAATGGTGCAAATTGATATGTACCCAATACACATATAAAGTTTAGAAAAACACCTTTACCATCCCTTTAAGAATACTGCTTTTGTACCAAATGAATATTTGAATTATGATATTTATTACACTTTGCAATGACTATGATGTGAATACTATACTTGTACACAAAAGATTGGATCACGTTTTTTCCATGGGTTTGGTACTATATTTTAGGAGTAAGTACTGACAATCGTGGCATCAAATTGTTATTTTGATAAGTGCTGTTATGTTTTATCATTTTACAAAAGAATGGTTATTCTTAGCCTAATATTATAAATGTACAGTTAAAAGTACTGATGTATTTTTTAATGAAAAAATAGTAGAATGCTTTGAAAGTATTGAATTATGTTTGTTATTGCCATTAATATATAAATCTATTATATTATTCTATGTAAGTTGATCAAGATAATCTCAGGGATTACCAAGTTCAGTTTTATGATTATTAACTTATATCAAGTCAATCTTTTGAGTGATTAGGATTTAAACAGCTTTTGTTTTTATACAAGAAACTTGTTAACGTATGACCAAAAAGGTCACATTCTTTCATAAGCATAAAAATTATAATTCTATGGCTATTGGCAAAATTTCACGTTTGATAAAACAAGAATTGTGAAGGTCAAAATTGCTGATAAATTTCATCTGATTTCCTATCAGTCAAATTCTGAAATTAGAGAGCCCCTTTCACTTTATTTATACTGGGTTAGGGCCTAGGGGTACTCAGGGTATGTAGGGTCGGTAACTAACCATTTCCCCCTTCTCTCTAGAAATGATTTGCACTCCAATTGTAAAGTTAGCTTGCCAAGCAAGGTAATATAATGCCCACTAGCAGCTTTGATTTTGAATAAAAATATTTGGCAGTACAGTAACAGTTATCAGTATGACCTTCAGTCTTACACTTCTTATGAACTTTCTGGGGCGATACTGTTTAATATTATCAAGTTTTGTCAAGATCTGTCTAATTGGGCCTTCTAGAGTGCTTACAGGCTAAAACTAGAATGCGTTTTTAAGAACAAGGGCAATAACTCAAACTAAATATTTTCAATAGGGTTCATCTTTGGGTGATTACAAACTCTCACACCAAGTTTCGTCTAAATCTGTTAAGAATTGTGCCTTCAAGAGTGTTTACAAGGTAAAAAGTGAATGTGTTTTCAAGAGTAAGGGCAATAACACATACTAAATCTTTTTTGATTTTTCTGATTTTCAATTGGGTTTATCCTTAGGTGATAACAAACACTCACACCAAGTTTCATCAAAATCCGTCAAGATGCACCTTCTAGTGTTAACGAGCTTCTAGTTTCTACTAACAGTTTTTCGATTTTTTTATGATTTTCAATAGGGTTCATCCGTGAGTGATTACAAACAAATCATATTAAGTTTCGTCAAAATCCGTCAAGAGAAGCTAAAAAAAAATGGTTAATTGACTTGGTGCATTCTGACTAATATTTTGTGGTAAAAACCGTATTAAAAATAAGATTTTTATGGAAATGTGGTCGTATATTGTCCGTTCGTCCGTTCGCTTTTTTCCGATACTTATAAAACTCTTGCATGTATATATTGATGAGATCTTATTTAAGTTCTAATTTGGCTCATTTTAGATGAACGGTTGTTGAGTTATTGCCCTTTATTTAGTAAAAACCTGTCAAATTTAGCAAACACGATAGAGGCTACAATTTTTATCTGATCTTGATGAAACTTGGAATGTAAAATGGGAAAGATCTTGGTCATGTTCGAATTTGACTCATTTTGAATGAACTGTCTTTGAGTTATTGCTGACTAAGTAAACTTAGCAAGTTTTGCTTGTGAACATAATAGGTCATACAGTTTTAACCGATCTTAATGGAACTTGGTATACATGTTTATTATATTGATAGGATCTCGATCAAGTTGTAATTTGGCTCATTTTGAATAAACATTTTGTTTTAGTTATTGTTAAAATTTGCCAAATTTGGCTTGTTAACACGATAGAGGCTATAGTTTTTATCCGTTCTTGATATAAGTTGGGGTCCCAAAAAAACGTCTCAAAGTTCAACTGGTAGGCTAGTATTTCAGCTGTTGGTAAACTGATCTATTTCAAAATTCTCACAGATATACTTCAAAATGTCGTTGTCCAACCATGAAAATACCAACAGCTGAGATACTATACCCGTCGAACTTTGGGACGTTTTTTGAGACACCCGTTATAGGCCTATTGTTGAAGTCTCAATATATATATATATTAAAGACAAGAGCGAAGTGTGATAATGTTTCTGGGATATTAATATTGGTTTAAAAATGATTCTGCGGAAAAACTATGAACAGACAGCTTAATATGGCAGTAAGCGCCTTTCTGCCGTTTTTTGAATTTCCCAGTCTGCCCCCTATTTGTACCCCCAGGCTCGGAAGTCTGCTGCCACCACTGCTTACCATTTTTGGTCAAATAAGTTGCTATGATTTCAGTGGACTTATTATTGTGGTTGGCCTATACTTTTCATTCAAAGTGATAAGTGAACCATTTTATACCTCTTCTTACGTTACAATGGCGTGATTGTGTAGGCAGACGATTGCAAAATATCTCGCATATATTTCTAATATTGCGAAATTTAGGTTAGAAAAAAGAAATTAGTAGCATGTACAAATAGCACTAAGCATATATTAAATATTTCTCCTTACCAGTTTTGATTCTGATTTTTATACTTCCTAGAATCTATTATAGAATTGTAAAGAGAACAAAAGGGGGTGGGTTTTAAAAGCCAACCGCCTACCGCTGCCAACCGGCATAAGCTATAGATCATGTTCCAAGTTAAGTAGATCTGCACCCCTGAATAATTCTTTTCGAATACCAATTGTAAAAGGATCACACTTTCATTTCTTTTTCATAATATTTTATATGTCTCCATTATAATCTTATCAGTTTTCTACCACAGTTACGTTCCATTGACGTCATTTTAACCAATCAAAGCTTATGTAGCCTAGAGGAACCAGTAAAAAGCGAAACACAATGTAAAGTCTCTTTGGTTTTCGCTTTCCCACAATTCGTCATTGATATGAGGAAATGCATAGATATCTTGCATTATATGTATTTGATTGGTTAAAACAATGTCATTAGAATTAGAACGGGACTTAGAAGAAAACTTGTTAGATTATGGAAACTCAAAGAATAATATGTATAATATAATAAAAAAAACAACAACCCGAAATTGCAATCTAGTTTAATTGTCCGAATATAACCCTTGTCTCTGATTGTTAGTCCCCAACGAATTTCTATTCTGGCCACAATAACATTGGCTTTTGAAGGTCAATAATTATAAGCTTGTTTATGGAAGCAACAATAGAAATATCTACAATAAGGTGAGTTTGAGGTCAGGCGACTTCAACTCTGATTATAATGTTGGAGGAGGTGTGGAGGGGGGAGGTGATTTAGTCCGTGCACTGCTGTACTCTGTTATTAGGCTTAGACTAACATTGGTATTTTTGGCGAATCTCGAGTCTCTTTTAAATTGGAACCCAGCAAAACGAACTGATTACTGATTGAAAAAACCTACAAACTTTCCCTAGAGTGGCTCTTCATTGGTAAAGTTTCTCCTTTTTGTTGCTCACATTCTTAACTTGACCATGTCATTAGGTCATCATCTAAAATATCAATATCATTCAGATAGTTGGCGTATTTAGCCCCAAGCTTACAAAAGGTCCATGGCATGGCCATGAATTTTTAGGAGTGGAAACCTCTCATGTGCTTCCACAATCTTGTCAATGTGTTATGTAATAACAGGAACAATCTTTTGATGGCACGAAATTGGATAAAGACTAAATTGCACGATTAGGATATTTCAATTAATGGCATGACAATCAATAACTTGAACTGTTCAGTTTAGGCCAAGATGACCTTCCATAGCGTTATACCTTTTCTGATTTGCTTCAGTGCGTTTGAAGGCCATGATGAACAGTGCTCAAATATCTCCCTATTTTTTATGATCAAGAGAGCGAAACAAAGGATATATATGTTGAAATACTATTAACATGTTTTGTATTCCTTGTAAATAGAGATCACATCTAGTCAGTCTACATTGTATACCCCGAGTATATAATCTGGTTGCAAAGTGAGCAGGCATTCTGAGCCTCGCACGTCGTCAAACAAACATGAAGTTATTATTGATTGTTACAGTCGTCGCATATTTGGCCTATGCCAATGCTGCTGAAAGTGACCTTGCAAAAGAGTTAGTTCGCAGTTTGTCAGAATACACTCAATCTGCAGGAGAAGTAAGTGTCATTTCTGCATATTTTTCAAGTTTACGATATTAATTAATATGAAAATATCTAACAGTCGAAGTACTGAATAATATCTGAAAGAGACAAATTTGCACTTTTAGGGTTTTGAATATAATATGTAAATAATTTTCAGAAGTACTGCAGATGTACAAAAATCCTTTTCTATGTAATCCGCTATTTTTGTTCATGTTTTAAGAGAAAAATGAAGGCGTTCCTATATTCCTAACTGTTTAATATTACTAATTTTAGTATCTATTCTTGTAGACTTTTGCATCCCCTTTTACTACCCGAATAACGTGTGGCTTGAGCGTCATAATCTAGTTTTGTGTGACACAATCCACTCAAAGTCTGTAAAATTTTACACAGGTGTACTACCTCTTAGAATGACCGTAAAACTTAAAATGAGTCCTTATTCATCAGTGTACTTGTCTGGTGTCACAACTGTATACACTTAGAAGCGTGTTTCAATAATTATTTAGTTTAATTGATATATCGTGTTATATAGGGATTCTATTATTTAGTCATGTCAACTGGTAAGTCTAACTGTTGAATATAAACACTTATTGACCAAGAGACTTTAAATATCCATTTTAAGGGGTAATATTCCCTCAAAACGTTATGAGACCCTAACCCACTTACATCCAATCAGCGCATAGGCTAAATTTTCCAAATGGCTCACTTAATTATTAAGAATTTCACAACTATCTAACATTTTGACTGAAAGTTAGCGTTAGCTTTCAAGTAGGTCAAATCAAGTAAAATTATAGTATTGGGAACGGTCGGCTGACCCCCTCCGCTCACTTTTTTACCTCTCAAATTTTGCGTAATATGATCTATACTTACTTGTAAATGAAATGAAATGAACGCCATGCAGGGTGCCATTAGGGAAATTTTGCCAGGACAGCGGCATTAGCCTGCTCTTTTTCGATTTCCAACTGTCGAGGGATCTTTAACGTGCACAGCCTGTGGCACACGAGGCCTCGGTTTATTGTCCTATCCGAACGACTAGACGCTTTTACCATGTCAGCCCCTCTTACCTGCATCACTGACAGGGGGAAACCGACTAACTTGTAAAGAGATTTTCTAAAGTTTGGGTGTGTATCGGGTTAATGATAGCATCAATTTGCCTCCGCAAAGGTCTTATTTTGAGGGGATGGCGTCATAAAACTCTTAGTTATAGTGGAATTGCAGCAATCTCAGACGTCTGATTGAAAATTGTAATGGTGCAAATTGTTACTATCAGTTCCTGATAAAATATAGAAATCCTCTTTACAATCCCTTTCAATATGAACCAATTTTTTTTTTTTAGAAAATAGAAACTCATTCAAATAAAAGATCAAAACTCATTTATGCTTTTTTTCTTTTTAAGGAAAAGAAAACAATTTCTGTTGAAGGCGAACAAAAAATAAGTAAGCTTTACTTTACTTAATTACAATAAAACATGTATACAGTCGTCACTTGTTGTTTTACAAGCTGATAAACGTTATTGTCTGTTCTGAAATTATGGAATATCGGATAAGGGTATTATCCATTGTCCATACCAAGGTTCTCATGTACAATCGAAAGTTATTACTATTGGAAAGGCGTGCACAAAAGACTTTTTGATAGACCTTTAAATTTAAAACTATCATTTATCCGACGCTGAAATTGTATAGAAACCAGACGTCGATTTTCATTTTGATACTGATCACTGAAAGTAAATATTCAAACGACTTAAAAAAAAACCAGACGATATGAAGACTATGACACTTAATGTGCTTGCAAAATTGAACATTCCATGATACCAAAATTGAACATTCCATGATACCAAAAGGAAGTCATTCCATGATACCAAAAGGAAGTTATTCCATGATACCAAAAGGAAGTTATTCCATGATACCAAAAGGAAGTTATTCCATGATACCAAAAGGAAGTCATTCCATGATACCAAAGAAAGTTAACAACTTGAGCGTTATACATGCTAATCCCTTTTTTCAGAACTTTCACCAAAAAGCTTTTTGGATATGGTCGCTCGATGGTCGAAATCATCTGGAAGATTTTTAGAAGCTTTGGAAAAAATGAGACCGAAATTTTACAGAATCCTGCAAGGGAGACTGGGTAAGTGAAAATTTTGACTTGTTTCTTGATACTCAATACCCACTGGTTAAAGATAGGGTCGATAAACTTTTGGGTGGTATGATTCTAGAAATTTTCACTTTTCAAAACCCATAAGCATCAGTCCAATACATAATAACCAATGATACTGATTTATTTTAGAATATGAAGATATAAAGGACGAAATGGAAACTCTTATGATGGCAGGTCACGGTCTGTATGAAACTATACAGAAAGAAAGTTTAGCAGCAACCCTAGACCTATATTTCAGTAAGTATACAAATACATTACATTTTATCATTTTCAGTAACTTTTAACTGTCGGCAAAAGAATTCAAAGGACGTTTTGAAGTCTTTAATCACGGCATCTGTAGCTTATGTTTCAATTCCTGATCTCCCGCCGAGGTGAAGTGTCGGAAACACCGTTTTCGGCGACTTTTTCGCCACCATTCCCAAATAAAGGCCATCGCATAAGCATAAAATCATACTTCCGGTTTGTCTTTCGTTTAAGGAAAATTACCACACGGTTTAAAGACGTTAACAATCTGTCATTGTATTCTGAAAAGTGTCTGAAAATGAGTTCGTGGAGTTGATAAAGCAAATATTTACTCGAAAACATTCCTTTAAAGAAGATTTGATTGATTTTTTTTTTTATTTTCAGATAGTGAAGGGTTTGAAGATCCTGGTAGATGCAATCGAATGCACAAATTGAGTGAAAACTTCGGTAAGTGTGGCCTCAATAAAACTTTAAGAGTATCTATATTATAACCTTGTCAAATATAATTTATTTTAACAGAAACTTGCCACATGAATGCAAATCCATTCTGAATATGTATCTTATTGTAGAGGTGAAAAGTGATCCACAAGAGGCAAAGTTAAGAAATATTGAAGCTACAGTGGTTGATTTGGAATGTATGGCTAGAGATATGGAAGAGGAAATTGCTTCACTAGAAGATCATTGCTTAAACGGTACGTAAGAAATATCATTGTTTGGACATGAAGTTGGATTTGTGATTATTATTCAGAGAGGAAAAAGCCTATAGTTAGTAGTTCATTGTCCAGTTAAATGATAAGCTGACTCTATGGTCTTAATCTCTGTACAAAGGTGGTACATTGGCTGTATAGTAACTTGTAAATCATCCTGGTTCATTTCCCTGTTCATTTCCCTGGTTCCCAGCATTTTGAACTGAACCAATCTTGTCGGGTACCGCCTGTACTCACTGGCACTCTATGCATAGATTAAGACAATAAATAACGTGTTGCTCACTTAATCTGAGATCTTGTGACAGCGAACGTAGCCCTACATGATTACTGAAACAAATTTCGATGAACATCCCCTTTTTCTTGATAAAAATGATTTTGTGCTTCAGAAGGAAAAATTACCATCAATGATGCTCAAAGAGTATTATCCGGTGTTACGAGATATCTGACCCGTGCTGCTGTAGATGGTATGCGGTTTGCTGCTGCTGGGCACACGATAAAGGGTGTTTGGAAAGAAGGTAAACGTATACAATTATACTATAGAAGTATAGGGGCAACATAATTGTCAAGGTCATGAAAACTTCTTTGTTTATTACAATGATAATAAATTTAAAAGAGGGGGATCGAAGCCCACATAGAAACCTCACTGTAAATCTGCCATACAGACAATTATTTCTCTTTTATACCCATTGTATGTATTGTGACAGGTTTCCTTAACGAGATAGGACAAATGCAACAATCCACACTATTTGAATATGCTATTCTTGCAGTACAGTAGTAATTATATATATTCAGGACCCAAATCAACCCCAAACAATTCGAACCATTTCCTTTATTTTAAAAAGACAATTTTGTATTCTTTCTTTATATCATTTTCAACGAATTCTATTCCCTCGACAGTTGGAAATCGAAAAAGAGCAAGTGAATGTCGCTGTCCTGGCAAAATTTCCCTCACTGCACCCTGCATGGCGTTGTCCGTCTTCATTAGCCCACATGGAGCAGAAAAGTAGGACGTAAAACTCCATTCATTTCATTTCATTTTCAACGAATTCCATATAAAATTTATATACGGACTGGATTTGATCACTCCAGCTCCTTATTAGGCTAACCGAACGTTCAAGCAAAGATTCAAGGACATGATTTACAAGCAGTGGCTGCGCCAGTTGGGGTACAGGAGGTTGCGTACATAGACATTTTGTTTTCACGTCCATTTGAACCCCCACTTTATTATAGCAAATTTTAAAAAAAGATTTTGTAAGATTTGTATACGTTTATGCACCCTATTTGTACCCCCGGTATCGGAGTCGCCAATAGTTACAAGAGTCATTGCATACGGCTTGCTTTGATTGAAGCTATTACTTACATGCATTCATTAATCCGATTATCCACGAGGCTATTTTTAGTTGCTGTGAGTTTTCGACGATGCCGATAATTTCGGGGTTCGACACTCATCTTCTCCTGTAATATCAGGTTTATTTATAAAGCTTTGTTCTGTTCTGTTTCAGCATACCCTGACCCTCCAGTACAAACACAACAACAACCAGAAAAAAAGGAGCTTAACACATTACTCCAGAAATTTCTTCGTACTCTTGAAAAGAATAAGCCATAGGCAAAAAGTGCTATAACGCTGTATATTGAAGTACTTTTTCTGATGCTTTCGTAAATGTTATAAGCCAAAATTACATGATTGATTGCTACTAGTGTTTCAGAAACATCCTTTCCTTGCCCTTTCAATAGTTTGTACATGTATGATATATTTCATATAAAACATACGTCTGTGATCTTCAATAAATCTTTTCTTTGTTAATTTTCCGTTATTATTCAAACTCTCAGTCATTCATCCGGCTAGTGGCAGGCGTAGGCCTACCATGATTTTGAACCTTGTAAGCCTTGTACCCCAGAATAAAGAACATGGGTAAGTCTTGCACCTCAGAAGAAAGAACCTGCCAAGTGTTGGGAATTTATTATTCAATTATAATAAACCTGCAACATCAAAGATTTACCACCATAGGTTTATAATTTAGCTATAGCCCTTGTTAATGAAAACGCGTTCAATCCCAGCTCGTAAAAACTCTAGAATACACGATACTTGGAAGATTTTGATGAAACTTGGCGTAATTGTTTATTAACATCCGAGGATGAACCCTGTTGAAAATCAGAAAAATCAAAAATTGTTTAATAAAAGTTACTGCCCTTGTCATTGAAAACAAGTTCAATTCTTGACAGATTTTAACGAAACTTATTGAAATTATTTATTATCATCGATGCTAAATTGAAATTCAGAAAAATAAAAAGGCTTTTTTGAAAAGGCGTTCAATTTGTAGCTCGTATTAATTAAGAACTCTCGAAGGCTCAATACCGGAATTTGATCAAAATATTGTTCATAATCACCCAAAAAAGTCTGAAGGAAGTGTATGACTGAAGGGTGAATATTTCATACTGGTAATTGTTACTATATCCGTTGGATGGATTGAAAAATAAAAGCCGTGGCGCAGTTGCCACTATTCCCAATCACATGGTTTGAAAGCGTTGCCGTTATATAATGTAATATAGCCTACAAGTCATAGAGGCTTGTTAGAAACGATTTGAAATTTAAGCAATTCAATTAGAGTTTCAAAATATGTACGTTACCCTAATATTATTTCGTTTTAGTAACAAAACAAAAATCGACTATTGTACGAAACCAATATTTACGACTTCCGGTAACAATTTAATTCATCTCTTGTCAAAATAATTATTATGATTTAGAGTATTTGCTCTGTCCTTGTTTGATATTTGAAAGTCACAAAACTTTCCTGTGCCAGACTTAATTTTGGTAGGATTGCTAATAAATCAAACCTATAAAAGATAAGGGTTAAATAGAGATAATAGGCTACAACCACCCCACCCCCTGTCCTCCTATAAAAGTAAAAGGACGTAAAACTCCATTCATTTCATTTTCATTTTTTCCCTGTCCCCCAATATTATAGGCCTAGCATACATAGGTTTATACGATAGTAGCTATGCAACCTTTTCTTCTCACTTTGACTTTTCTTTTGCAATCATATCATTAAATTAAGCTCAACCACCCAGGCCCAGGGATACAAGCTGACTTAATGGCAGTCATCTTAAAACAAATCTTTCTAATGATATGATTTCAAAAGCAAATGATGATTGAAACGGAATATTTTCAAGTCAAATCAATTTTCAACATTAAAGGCTATGCAGGCACTGTTGCTGTTTCATCTCACTCTCCTTCATATTGTGATATTGATTTGAAACTTTGAGAGGTGTCCTGAATATTCACTGCAGATTTCAGACAATTCCAATGCTTTACAATGCCAATCTATATGGTTTCACATGCTGATATATTTTTACAGTCATAAATAAGGATAATAAATTATGTCATGGGCCAGTGAATTACCAGCTGAATTACTATGTCGACCTACTGGATTGGTGGTTTTAACTGGTTTAGATATTACCTATAATGCTATACACAAATCTATCTGGGATTCATTCTGTAATAACAGGAGGTCAGACAGAGTACCATTAAAATTTGATGTCCAAGAAGCTGATCATGTTTACCCTAAGAGTAAACAAAAGGTTTGTAGGTAGTTTTTATGTGGAGTTTTAAGAGTTTAATTGGATGTATGAGTTATCCTATACTAAGGGATTATAACGCCCTAGCAACTTCATCAAACACTTAGTTTTAGTGGAATTGCAGGAACTACAGACATCTGATTGAAAATTGGAATGGTGCTAATTGATGCTTGATTCACTTAAAAATTTGGGAGAACAATCCGTTTAATTTATCTGAGGTTTTCTATGTAAGAGTTTGAATATTATATTATTTTACAAAATAGAATACTTTAATATTATATCATAATAGAGAACATCATATCAATGGCACATACCGAAAGGTATATTGAAAAGAACATGGATGACCAAACATTTAAATGAAGTACCAGCAGTTGTTGTGGTATTCTATGATTTAGATTGGGATGAATTCCTATGGAAAGAAAAGCAGATGGAATGTGCCACTAGAGTTGAAATTGTTAGGTACAGTTAGTTATATCTACAATCTATATCTGTGCAATAATACAATAACATAATATTCTCATTGTTTATTAAATACATCAATTGTAGGGCGATATAGAAATTTTTGAAATGATATTAGAATTTCATCTTAGCAGTATATCAAATGTACGACAAGAGGTTTTAATACTGATCTTAGTCTCAATATACAGATTTCAGACTTAAATCTTGACATAAATGTTGATTTTATCAGAACAAAAGCTTTGTAATCTCACCTTTGGCGGGAAATGTAGTCATTTCATATATTTTGCTTATTTTTAGTACTTTGTTACTGTCAATATTTTGTACCTTTTTATGAGATGTTTATGTCTTGTTTTTACAGAAATAGTTTACAAGGACAAGGAACAAAGGTTGCTGTAGTTTTGATACAGAAAAACACTCCATTGCCACCAGGTTAGTTCATCTGGATTTCTTGATATCAGTTGTTTTCATGATAGGTTAGCTGGGCATCTTTGATTGCAGTTTTGGATTCATTACCCCTTTGTTGACTGAAATTGGCTGTTATTTTTGTCATAAAAAGAAAGTAAATGCGTGTGGACTTTTTAATTTGATTTTGCATACTTTTAGTTGTCAAAAAAAAATTGTTTAATTTGTTTCAACAGGAGAAGATGTGATGGCAGCAGAAAGAGCCTCATCATTATGTAATATGTGTGATATCTCAGCTAAATCACTATATGTTCTACCACATACAGACCATCTTATAGGTTATACTATTAGGTTTGTATAAATTAATGTCTATTGGCCTAATTTGGAGCTTCAACATACATGTGATTTCAAGAATAAAAACTTTGATTCTCATTGATTATTTCTACTGGCTGATTCTTGACCTACACTTTTGGTGTCCATCATATGTGGATGATTTTCGCTCTCAGTACTTTGGTGAAAAGGGTAATTTATTTTTCAGATTAGAGAATGCATTCTATGAGTTATCTCAGAGCTATTATCACCTAGAAGCTAGAAAAGTCAAATCACATAAAGATTTCTTAAATAAAACTACACATCAGGTATGTTGTGACATTTAAAAAAAATATAAAACAATCTTACTATGAGTTAGTACTCAAATAGTTACTTATTTACGATATGTCATATACCCTATTGATCAAAACTAATATCAGTGTTCATACTTACAGACAGAATGTACTACTTTATATAATTTGATTAATCATTATCAAACTTTTTTTGTGATTGATTAGAACATCTATATAGAACTGTTAATGTTAATGTATTTTGAATTTCATTTCAGCTATTCTATGTAAGACATCAGTTTAAAATTGCTTTCTTCAATGAGTTGAAACAAGATTCTCATACGGCTCTCAAGTAAGTCTTACTCCTGAGGCTTTGAGTCTTGCTGCCTTACTCCTGAGGTTTTGGGTCTTGCTCTCTTACTCCTCGGGTTTTGGGTCTTGCTCTCTTACTCCTGAGGTTTTGGGTCTTGCTCCCTTAATCCTGAGGTTTTGGGTCTTGCTCCCTTACTCCTGAGGTTTTGGGTCTTGCTCTCTTACTCCTGAGGTTTTGGGTCTTGCTCTCCTTTTTGGGTCTTGCTCCAATCCTGAGGTTTTGGGTCTTGCTCCCTTACTCCTGAGGTTTTGTGTCTTGCTCCCTTAATCCTGAGGTTTTGGGTCTTGCTCTCTTACTCCTGAGGTTTTGGGTCTTGCTCCCTTAATCTTGAGGTTTTAGGTCTTGCTCTCTTACTGAAGTTTTGCTCACCTACTTCTAAGGATTTTTGCTACTCATTTAATATACAAACAGTATATCTTGAACTTTGTTTAGTCTTATGCCAGGTTTTAATACCCTGGAAAAGTATTTTAGAGATTAATGTTGGTATTGTCACTTAAATTAGTCTAAAATCAAAAATTGACAACAGTTATTAGTAGTTATTGAGATTGTTTGGTTGATTTCAGACATTATAAACAAGCGTATGGTCATATATTAGATCTGAGAATGTATGATACTAATATGTTAGAGATAAAAACTATGGCAGGTTTTGTCAATTATAAGGTAAGATTTTATTTATGATCCATAATTGGTCTTTCAGTATTTTTCTTATGTTTCTTTTGTCATATGTGTTTCCATTTCCAAAAATAGTTGAAACAGATGTTGAGATCATGAGATAAATCTGGTCAACTAGATATGAATTGAAAGTTTTTATTGTATTAAGAACTTTCTTATGTTGACTTCCTGCTCCAGTTAAGATCTATTTTGCTTATTTTTTTGTGTATCAAGGCCATTAAATCATTTCAATTTGCAACATAGTGATTTTCAGTCATATGTCTGTGGTTCAGATAATTTTACAGTGATCACTTGAGAACAGGTTATTCAGGCTATAATGATTATTGTTTTAGATCTGTCGTCTGTCATTTCAACACAATATACCATTAGATGCTATAGCTCAATTCCGTAAACATATAGATTTCTTCAAGTCAACAACTGGTACTCCAGAACTAGCTTTTGAAAATAGTGCTTGGATGTCTAAACAGTAAGTATGAGCCTTTGTTGTTTTATTACTCTAAAAAAATTTTGTTTGGAAGCTCTAGTGACAACCTCCCCAACCCAAGTTAAATGAATATGGACAGATATTGAGTTAAGTGCTATTGAGTCTTGGCCAGAAAGAACCTCAAATCTTATTCTGTCATTTGAAATATGATACAACTGTAAGAAATGGCTAATTTCTAGATTTCAGGTATTTGGAGATTTATTTGATGAAGCTATTAAACTAGGATTGACAGCTTTACAGACCCAACATCCTGGTTTTTACTATCAACAAGCTGCTAATCATTCCATTACCAGAAAACAACTCTGTCATGCTCTCTGTATGGTAAGTACTACTTTGTCAGACTCTGTATGGTAAGTACTACTCTTGTCATGCTTACTGTAAATATTGCTCTGTCATGCTCTCTGTATGGTAAGTACTACTTTGTCAGACTCTGTATGGTAAGTACTACTCTTGTCATGCTCACTGTAAATATTACTCTGTCATGCTCTCTGTATGGTAAGTACTGCTTTGTCAGACTCTGTATGGTAAGTACTACTCTTGTCATGCTCTCTGTTAATATTACTCAGTCATGCTATATTTTCAGAATAAAACTGGAATTCCTAATACTACTATATTAGATGGGTTGGATAATTTGGAATATTTTGGACAAAGACCATGGAGACAAGGACATCAAAGTAAGGAAAAATGTATTCTTCATTGTATCAGATTGAAAATGAGACCTTGGGAAGCCATTCTTGTTTACTGAACTTAGTAGCATTTTCCTTATTTTGAGCACAATCATTCTGAAAAGTGATAAAGGTCATAGGTAACTTAGATTAAGCTATATGTTGTAGTGAATAATAACAGGAACATGTACCTTTAAAATTTTATCTTGGAGTCTTTCCTTATCATATTAAATTACAATTACATGTAAGAAGGAAAGATTATGTTTTAATTAACACAATTAATATACTATTATTATTATGACTTGATGAAATGGAAGGTTTCAGTATGGATACATCTAGTGGATTATTGGAAATATCTGTGATGGGTGAGGTGGTCCAGAACACTCACTACCATTCTGCCTTAGAGTTCATCAACTAGGCATTTCTTTTGCTAGTCTACACAGCTATTGATGGTTATTTGGTATATTGATTATTGAAAAGCTTTCTATCATAGTTTTGTATCTGTTATTCTAGGTATTGACCCACCAGATGCTCAGAAAGAGAAGGAAGGTATCCTAGCTTTACAGATGAAGGAAAAACAAGAAGATCATAGTGTAAGTAAATTTATTTTAAGGTGGTAATTTATATATAAGTTGTACATTTGACAAGTATGTGTTTAAGAAAGGCTTTAGCTAAGTTTTCTATTGTGCTACTATTTTTGTGCTTAACCTTATTTCAATAGGATTCAGGTGTGTTTACAGATAAACATATTTATTTCATGTTTAAACCTAATGAAATGTTTAGCTTTTTTATCAAATATTTAATTTGATGAGCTTCTGTTTGAATTTAACTTTTTTTGGCAATTCTTGTTTACATATGAGTTTTATATTTGATTACAGTGGATCATCATACCATTATTAAGCAGTGCTGTAGCTCAGTTTAAAAAATATAAATCACCTAGAATGAAACGACATTTAAGTAAGATTTGTGTTAATTAATTAATTAAATATATTAAGAATGCCTGATAAACATATTTTAAGCATTTAAGTGGAAACAGTTATGAATTTAGGTGGAAAAATTGTTGGCTGAAACATCTACCACAAACTTGATCTTTGTAACCTTTGATCTCTTTTTCAGTGGTCCAAATGGGAGAAGAATATTTTCATGCTAAAGACTATGGAAAAGCTTTAATGTGAGTAATTTCTACTTTTTTCTTTAAATAAATGAAAACTTGGATCTGTGAAAAAGTTGTATTTTGGAAAGTAGCAAATTTTGATACCAAGCCATATTGAAATACCTACAAGAAACTGATATTCTATAAAAACATTGAGTCCTCTCATTGGTTTGATTCAGCAATTGGCGAAGAATACTTTGTCATACAAGAAAAAAATTGATAACTTATTTTGCTTTCCGCACTGAAGTATCTAATTGGTTAAAAAAAAACACATATATTTAAACTTCAGAAGTTCAGAAACTAGTTGTACACCAATTAGTAGATTTTATTTGTTTGAATAGGTTATTAAATAAAGTGATGTGGGATTATAGAGCTGAAAGATGGTCACCAATATTAACATCTATATTAACATTATCATTGAAATGTGCTTATCTAACAGCTAAAGTACAGGAGTATGTATCTAATTGTATGGAACTTAGTGGTCAATGTATCCTTTTAAAATGGGTTAAGATACTTTTATGTCCTAGTGCAGAAATGACCTAAGTCTTAAATGCCAAACATTGAAGCTATTTATAGCAATTAATGCATTTAGTTCTGAGCTATACCTATCGTTTTTCACTATAAATAATTGTGATATTATGGGGTAATGGGTGGGTTGCTTTGAAATGCTTGAAAAATGTGTGATTCAAGATTTTATATGAGATTGATTAAGTCCTTAATATATGAATAGATTCACAATGTTCTATAGAAGAGAAATCCAGAATAGAGAAAAATCTTACCAAAGTTATGTCAGTAAGTAATCATTTTATTTTTTCAAATGATATTCAATGTAAAGGTTGTTTTTCTTAGCTAATAGTTATAGAGATATTAGTATCAGTAGAGTATTTATTCTAGAATGATGTACCAGATCCAGGTTTAAATCAAGTATCAGTTGAGTTTAAACTATCACCGTTTTATTTCTAGAATGATGTACCAGATCCAGAACCAGGTTTAGATCAAGTATCAGTAAAGTTTAAACTATCACCGTTTTATTTCTAGAATGATGCACCAGATCCAGAACCAGGTTTAGATCAAGTATCAGTAAAGTTTAAACTATCACTGTTTTTATTGTAGAATGATGTACCAGATCCAGAACCAGGTTTAGATCAAGTATCAGTAAAGTTTAAACTATCACTGTTTTTATTGTAGAATGATGTACCAGATCCAGAACCAAGTTTAAATCAAGTATCAGTAGAGTTTAAACTATCACCGTTTTATTTCTAGAATGATGTACCAGATCCAGAACCAGGCTTAGATCAAGTATCAGTAGAGTTTAAACTATCACTGTTTTTATTCTAGAATGATGCACCAGATCCAGAACCAGGTTTAGATCAAGTATCAGTAAAGTTTAAACTATCACCGTTTTATTTCTATAATGATGCACCAGATCCAGAACCAGGTTTAGATCAAGTATTAGTAAAGTTTAAACTATCACTGTTTTTATTCTATAATGATGCACCAGATCCAGAACCAGGTTTAGATCAAGTATTAGTAAAGTTTAAACTATCACTGTTTTTATTCTAGAATGATGCACCAGATCCAGAACCAGGTTTAGATCAAGTATCAGTAGAATCAGCTAAGTCTCAGTGGTTAAGTGTAAAATCAGAATCATCAGTTTTTACTATTGAGATGTCTACTTTGGTGTCTTTTAGTAAGTTATTACTTGTAGAAAAGTGGGGACTTTGTTCATAACACGTTTCAGATAGAAAATCTGTCATCAGGACAGGTGATCATGAAATACGGGATTGTTTTAATGTGCTTCTCACTGGATAGATAGCCCAAATAACTACTTGTCAATTTGGTCTAAAGCAGACCATTGTTAATGGTTTGAATTCATTGATTTTTGAAATGATAAAGATATGTAAATATCTTTTAGTTGATTGTAAAGCAAGATTTATTGGAGATTCTACATCAGCTGATACAAAAGTTAAACTTGAAGTTTACCTGAGGTAAAAACTGTTTGATTTTCATTGTGTTTTTAATTTGATTGCTGGGACATATGTCTTCATATACTCAATTCCGATTCTTCAAAATGAATTTGTTTATAAAAGATATTTGAGAAATAACGTTACCTAATGCTGATGAAATTTCTCTTAAAATAAAGTCACATTCAAGTTTCAAGTTTGGAAAGAATTTGTTGTCTGAGAGTAAATAAGGCTTGTTAGTTTAGACTTCCATCCTATATACTGTTGTATGTTTTCTACTTCATTTACAGAGTAACTTGTCCATTACCAATAAGATTCTCTAAACTGTCTGTACACTTTAATAATCAAGTAAGTTGGTTCACTACTGTAACATTGAGAACATTTTTAAAAATATGAAGTTATCTGTAAGAATTATTTTTGGATAGCACTAAAATGATGTATGTTGTGAGCAGCCCAGAACCCTCAGAGACAGACAATTTATATTTTGTTATGTGTGACATACTGTATGCAAATAAGTATATTAGAGATATGAGTACCAAAGAGTGATTACACATCACACTTCCCAGTGGAAACTTCCAGTTCATAGGGGTAATGAATATGACATACTGGTAATAATGTACTAGCTCTCCATACAGAGCAGTTACATGGAATATCTTTATTAACAAGAACTGTGATGTACCTGAGCAGTAATCCAAAAGACAATGTAGCCACATGCTGTGTCATTCTTAATGAAGTTTGTGAGCTCTTTCTGTATTTCTGAATGTCAGGAGCCATCTAATTAATAGATTCTTTAACTTTCTTACCTTATCTGTATCCAAACTTGATTCATTTTTAAGGTTCACAACTCGAAATGTGAGATTTCTGATGGCAGAGGGATAACTGCTGCATCATCACCATTGGAAGCTGATGGTGCTGACCTCTATCTGTTACCAGGGAAACCAAGATTGTTCACATTTTCATTCCTACCCACAGCAGATGATGTTGGTTCTTATATTGAGGTGAGTTGCACTGGACTATTATCTTGCACTATGTACATATACACATCCAAGGAATTTTATAAACTTTGAGGCAAAATGAATTACTCTTTTTTTAAGCAGAAAAAGTCTCCTTTTTTTAATTCAGACATTTGAAGAACATCACCGTGATTTAGAGCAATTTAACTTTTTCTTCAAATAACATTTCCTCTTATTAATCTTATGATGGATGTTTTTTTCTAATTTACCAAAAACCTGTATTCCAGATTACTAGTGTAGCATTAGAACTAGGTACAGGATGTTGTTCAATATTGAGATGGGTTGGTACTGGTACAGATACTACTAACGGTACCTCACCTAAACTAACTACTACTGATTCTGGTATTAGTACTGCAGATCAGGAGAAATGGCAACAATTCAAATCAAGTTCTACTATGAAGTAAGCTAATCTTCTTGACTTATCTTTAGTTCATCAGTCACCTAGTTTATCAAATATATAAACTCTCATTACAGAATATTACCAAGATCAGCTAAACTAAACTTATCTTTAGTTCATCAGCCACCTAGTTTATTAAATATATAAACTCTCATTACAGAATATTACCAAGATCAGCTAAACTAAACTTATCTTTAGTTCATCAGTCACCTAGTTTATTAAATATATAAACTCTCATTACAGAATATTACCAAGATCAGCTAAACTAAACTTATCTTTAGTTCATCAGTCACCTAGTTTATTAAATATATAAACTCTCATTACAGAATATTACCAAGATCAGCTAAACTAAACTTATCTTTAGTTCATCAGTCACCTAGTTTATTAAATATATAAACTCTCATTACAGAATATTACCAAGATCAGCTAAACTAAACTTATCTTTAGTTCATCAGTCACCTAGTTTATTAAATATATAAACTCTCATAACAGAATATTACCAAGATCAGCTAAACTAAACTTATCTTTAGTTCACCAGTCACCTAGTTTATTAAATATATAAACTCTCATTACAGAATATTACCAAGATCAGCTAAACTAAACTTATCTTTAGTTCATCAGTCACCTAGTTTATTAAATATATAAACTCTCATTACAGAATATTACCAAGATCAGCTAAACTAAACTTATCTTTAGTTCATCAGTCACCTAGTTTATTAAATATATAAACTCTCATTACAGAATATTACCAAGATCAGCTAAACTAAACTTATCTTTAGTTCATCAGTCACCTAGTTTATTAAATATATAAACTCTCATTACAGAATATTACCAAGATCAGCTAAACTAAACTTATCTTTAGTTCATCAGTCACCTAGTTTATTAAATATATAAACTCTCATTACAGAATATTACCAAGATCAGCTAAACTAAACTTATCTTTAGTTCATCAGTCACCTAGTTTATTAAATATATAAACTCTCATTACAGAATATTACCAAGATCAGCTAAACTAAACTTATCTTTAGTTCATCAGTCACCTAGTTTATTAAATGAGTTTTATCCTGTACATATTAATATATGTAATGAAGAAGAGAATGCTATACAATCTGTTAATTTATATATTGCTTTAGAAAATGAACATGAGACTTCTCAAGATCCTGGAGGTAATTTCCTTTTTTTTTTTTTTTTAATCATTTTTGAGAATATTTTATGAAATTTTTCTTTTCAAGTTGTTGTGTATATTAAAAATTGTCACACATTACCAAATTGCAGATGAGCCATATTAGAGACCCATATAGGAAATTCATGTGTATGGAATCTATCCTTTCAAATAGAACAATATTAATATTTTGATTTTTTTTTATGAAATTATGAATTAAAACTGAATTTACAGGAAAACAAAACTGTGTATCATAATCACTATTCCAAGAGTACGGAATCCATTGACAGTTTGAAACTAAAAGAATGATGACAGTATTTATTACTTATAAAAATAAATGTAAATGATTTTATTTTCATTCATAGCTCATATAAGTTTAGATAAAGCTGAGATTGGTGATAAAATGAAAGTAAAGGAGAACTTAGATTTACCTGATTTAAAGCCAGGACAAAAGGTGAGCTGGCTTTGAATTTTTACCTTTAATCCATGGATAAATTTAAACATGAAGTAGATCTAGTTTAGCTTCAGTATTATACAGAGAACTATCAGGTTGAAAGAGATTAAAGTTTTAAGATTAGAAATAGTTTGAATACACCTGTCAATATGTTACAAGGTACATGTACATTAATATCTTATATAATTTCATATAATTTCAGATAGATAAATGTTTCTATATCAAGTGTTTTCAACCAGGGACAAGATCCATATTAACTAAGGTATTAAAATGAAGAAGTTTGGTATAAATTGTGTTTGAAAAATGCTGTTCCAAGAATCTGCTAATAAACATACTGTATAAGTATTTCCAAAAGAGATAGTAGGCTGACAATCCCAGTTACAGATTTGCATCAGGTGTTCTGTTACAGTGATGTCATGCCTTGCCAAACTAGCTAACCCAGAGTCTAATATATTTCAATTAAAAATTTAAAATGCCAAAAAGAATAAATGTATTAATGCATGACTCTATAATCAGATATTGATAATATATTATTATTATTAGGTTAAATATACAGTAATAGTTAGTGTAGGAATACAACATAGTTTAACATGTCAGTGTATAAAAGAAGAAACTATTAATCTTACTACTGTATCACCATTTGATGTTTCTATAAATCTTCAATCTATGAAGGTAGGTTTTGAAATTTGAGAGAACTCCAGGTCATTTCATTTCTTTTAAATTTGATATGAGTTTGAATGAAAGCTTTTCAAATGCATAGCAGAAAATTTGTTACTCATCACAACACCAATTTAATGGTCAGCTTTGTTCAAAATAAAAAGAATGAAATTCTAGTTTTGACCATATATGGAAAGTCATTGGTATCTTGGATTTTTTTTCTAGTAGACCCTGTTTATTTGAATTCGTCTATGTCTGAGTGGAGGATGTCCAAAGTAAGACATGATCATAAGCCTAGTTCAGATCTTGAAAGCAATTGCATTAATATTATTATATTTTTCTAGTTTGAACATGTGGAAGCTCTACATGCAGAAGAACCATTCCTATTAAATCCTGAAATATCTTGTACATCTCCCTGGCCAATAGAACTACAGACCAGTGAGGTTCAGTTGGTATGTGTTGATCTGTTTTTATCCACTGAATTTAATTTGTATTAGATACATCAGCTATTTGCCCTTACAGCCTTGCTGTCAGATCTTTTTCAAAACTGAAGTAAATAATCAGCTATGTAGAGTAATGCAGATATAAAACTTTAGTTCTAGTATGTATTGAACATTTAGACCATTTCTTTTTGATAAAAAAACGTTTTCTAGTTCAACAATAACATGTTTTTGGCTTGCTATTTATTATATAACTGTGAAGAATGTTTATTTGTTTTTGTAGAGTGAATATATTAAAACAGTGAGTGAGAAACATGAATCACAGATTACTAGTGGTAAGTAGCATTTTTCAAATAAGAAAAGTATTCACAAATCTTCAATATAATTTACGTATTGCATTTATACAATTACATTATTTTTGGGGAATTTCAGTGAAATTGAAGAAAGCTGAAAGTGCTGCTGAATGTTTATGTTTAGTTTCCTTGGCAACCATTCAGCCATCTGTCTCTCTTGGTACCTATACAGTGTTCTGGAGAAGGTATGTCATGTGAGTCTTTTATACTCAAATAGAAACTTTTATTGACTTAATTGAAATATAAAGCTGCAATGTTCATGTTTGTGTCTAGAAAGTATTTTTAGAGCTATAGTTGATCAATGATTATTATGCTTATCACGGAACAATTGGAATTTGAAGAAGAATAAATGATAATTTACTACTTAATCAACAGAGAAATAATGTTGACTTATACTGATTAAGATTTTTAATTAGGCCCCTATCTTTGGTGACTACACATTTATTAATGTCTGTATTTATTTTCAGGAGAAAAGAAGATAAGAAACAGGATCTACCCTACGTTTCAACCTCTTTCCCTCTACCAACAGTTAATATTGAACATATACCAATATCAGTCAGTTTAAAATTACCAGCCTATGGTAGTGTGAAGACATTATTACCAATATGTTATGTTATTAAAAATCGTACACCCTATATACAGGAGATAGAAGTTAATATGGATGCTAGTGATAACTTTATGTTTGCTGGAAATAAACATGTAAGTCTTGCTTTATTACATGAATTTTCAAGACTAATTTGAGCTTAGCTTAGGTCAGGGGTTTAACCCACGCATAAGTTGAGATTTCAAACCAGTTTTCCACTCGCAGTACTTTAGGCTCTTTTAATTATTTTGTCATTGTACACTACATGGTGGTGTCCTATTTCCATAACACACAAATATGGCATGATAATTTCATTATGTGTCACAATTAGAGCTAAAAAGTATTATGGAGGGTAGTGCATTTCTGCTGTTCTTTTCTTTCCGTTTCCAGTCGTCCAATGGGATAACATCACACCTTGCCTCCATTGAATTCTTTAATCTGCTTAAAAGCTAATGATGTTGGAAGACAAACTTCACATTGATACATAGGTCAAATTATGCTTCTTGACTTATTACAAACTCTCATGGCTTTATTAGTTAATTACTTGCTGTTTTAAATTTCAGACTCATTTCCGAGTGTTACCAGGGACAGATTATTTATTGAAATATAATTTATTTCCATTGGTTGCTGGTCATCTAGCACTACCTAAATTACATGTTAATATGGTTCGATATCCTAATACCATGGATGAAATAATCCAGAAAATGTTACCTACACATATATTTATTAGAGTGAGTAAATGATCCTATCTATTCTAAGTATTGTAAGTGCCTCTCTAAAGAGGAAGTAGAATAGATTAATTCAGTGTAGTATGGAACAGTAGTAATATATACCTATCTCTTATATAATATCATAAAATTAGACATGTCACACTATGTAGCATGTTTTAATTTTGTTTTCAGCCTCTTGGTAAATCCATCATCTTACCAGCCTGAAGACAATGGGTGAATTAGCACTTTCCCAATCAATTTGTTATTCTTTGTAAAGTTAAAGTGTATAAGAAACTTCTTGATAATTTTTATTTATAATAAATGTGCAATAAATAGTTCGTAAAATGATATTTTTTCCTGTTCAAATTTTTATTTCATGTCTGTTGAAGAAATTGTATGAATTATAATCACATTTCATGACTGAAGTACTCACTGAAGAATAAATTGTCAGATTACATCATAAAATCACTGAATGAGTATATTGTTAGCACACATCAATTAACAACTCGCCAATTGAGTAAATTCTCAGACTACATCAATTAACAACTCACCAAATAAGTAAATAGCCAGATTTCATTAATCAACAACTCACCAAATAAGTAAATAGCCAGATTTCATCAATGAACGACTCACCAGTTGAGTAAATAACCCGATTTCAATACCAAATGAGTAAATTATCAGATTATACCACTGAACTGCTCAACAAATGAGTAAATTGTCAGAATACATCAATTGACAACTCACCAAATGACTAAAGTACCAGACTACACAAATTAACAACTCATCAACTGAGTAATTAACAACTCACCAAATGAGTAAATTGTCAGATTTCATCAATTAACAACTCACCAAATTGTCAGATTATATCACTGAACAACTCACCAAATGAGTAAATTGTCAGATAACACCACAACTCACCAAATGATTAAATTGTCAGATTACATCAATTAACAACTCACCAAACGAGTAAATTGTCAGATTTCATCAATAAGTAAATTGTCAAATTACATCACTGAACTACTCACCAAATGAGTAAAATTGTCGGATTACACCACAACTCACCAAATGCGTAGTAAATTGTCAGACTACATCAATTAACAACTCACCAAATTGTCAAATTACATCACTGAACAACTCACCAAATGAGTTAATTGTCAGATTACACCACAACTCACCAAGTGATTAAATTGTCAGATTACATCAATTAACAACTCACCAAACGAGTAAATTGTCAGATTTCATCAATAAGTAAATTGTCAAATTATATCACTGAACTACTCACCAAATGAGTAAAATTGTCGGATTACACCACAACTCACCAAATGAGTAGTAAATTGTCAGACTACATCAATTAACAACTCACCAAATTGTCAGATTACATCACTGAACAACTCAACAAATGAGTAAATTGTCAGATTTCATTGTTCAACATCTCATCAAATAAGTAAATTGTCAGATGACATAACTGAACTACTCACCAAATGAGTAAAATTGTCGGATTACACCACAACTCACCAAATGAGTAAATTGTCAGACTACATCAATTAACAACTCACCAAATTGTCAGATTACATCACTGAACTTCTCAACAAATTAGTAAAGTGTCAGATTTTATCAATTAACAACTCACGTAATTGTCAGATTACATCACTGAACAACTCACCAAATAAGTAAATTGTCAGATTTCATCAATCAACAACTCACAAAATGAGTAAATTGTCAGATTACATCACTGAACTACTCACCAAATGAGTAAATTATCAAATGGCTCACCACCAAAAAGGATTAAGACGAGTGACTAAAATATTTTATTCTAGGAGTTTTTGTCCTCTTCATTTTGTCGAAAAAAGAATGTCAAATGAATCTCGAGTTAATTAACAGAATACGATTGCCTATTGGCACATAATTGTAACAAATGGGTTTATTTCTAGTAGCCTAAAGATTAAATCTTCTAAATTCAAGCCTTATGTACTGATATCACTTGCTTATTAAATAGTTTCATGGTAAATGAGTAAATTGTCAAAATACATACAAATTAGTAATTACTAGTTCATAAATAAGTAACTACCAATTTCACCAGAAAAAACACAATCATATATGAAATTTATTTATTTAAAAATCAATTTTTTTCCACACAAGCTTCAGGTTAATAGAATAAAGAATTAAAACCTTTAATACCTTACAATTCCTAAATATTTATTGCAAATAAAACAAAGCCAGGACAGCATTAATAATAATCACTAAAATTGATAGAATTTCTATTTTTAAAGGCCTCAAAAGAGAATCAAGAATAATGCCAATAATGATGGTTCTATTGAATAATGTTTTAATCATGATATTCAAGAACTATAAGACAAATGAAGCAATAATATGCCATTTTTAATTGAACTCTTTATCTGGTGAAGTAAATATTTGGTCGATTATGTGTATATTCCTCATAGAATTGTGTATAAAAATTGAGTATTAATGATAATACATGTATAAGATTTATACCAGAGATTTTTATTTATAACAAAAAATAGTTTTCTTAACAGAAAAAACAAAGTTATGCATAACATATATTAAAATAAAAAAAAAAGGAAGATGGAAAACATTGGGACATAATAGAAATAAGCAGACAGAATTAAACAGTTTTGAGAAACTTAAAGTACAAACATTTAAAGCATATCCTTGGTGAAAGACACAAATAGCCAATGTAACAATTGAATGTAATATAATATTTGACCTTGATTTAATATAAGATGTCGGCTAAGGCATTACAAGAATGAAAGCAGGGTATAGGTTTATTCAATCTTAACAAGATAAGGTAACAATTTTGTTATTTTTCATTATTTGGTCTTCATTGTAATCTGGAAGGATATATACCCAGTGGGTGACTGTTGACATTCATTTCAACCAATAATTGTGGGTTAGTGAAGCGATATGACTTCTGATATTACGACGTAAGACTGTCTGTTATTCACTTGTTAAAGCGATGCTGATTGGCAGGAGAATGGCACGAATAGCTCCTATAAATATCATTAAGACTACAATGAAAACCCAAAAAGAAAATTAAAGAAAAAAAAATATTGTGTTCGATTATGCTTTATAAAATAAAAATGATTCACAAACTTGTTTTGTAATTAGAGATCTGCTCAAACAATTTGAATGATTTGATTTGAATGAGTAGAAATATGATTAATTTACAGAATAAGTCTTGACATTACCTTAAAACAGTGTTTGCTGCCATTTTACATTAAAATTACATGATTCTGACTACAATTTATCGGCCTTTTTTCTTAATATAGGCACTAACATGTTCAACAAACAAAGTTAAAATTACAATAAACAGTACATAAAACAAAAGTTTGATTTCGTTGTCTCCCTATATATAACTGGTAAAAAGGGACATTTCCAAATCTAAACAGTTTAATTTATTTTGAATCTGAGGTTATTACCCTAGTAAACTGTTCTTGATTTAGAAGTGAAATGTCTATAAGCAGTATAATTTGCTCTAAACAAAGTGCAATATTAACAAATGAGAACAGAATGTATCACAAAATTACTGTATCACAACTATGTCATAGAACACACCCTCTATATCTATGTTACTAGTTCTCATCACAATTTCAACTGTACGGTGTGTTCTATTATCTTCTCTCACACCATGGATATCTGACACTGTAAGCTGTTTTCTAGGGTTCTTTGCAATTGGCAAGTACAAAGGTTAACTATTGAGGTAGAGGTCATCTGTTTTTGAGAAAAGCTGCAAATATTACTAGTCCAAAACTTGACCAAATATAAAGTCCTGCCGTCAATGTTTTCCAAAATCCACGATCTTCTGATAGATCTAAGCTTTCAGCAAATGATTGGAAAAAAAAAGAGAAAAATAAAAGAAAAACTGAATTAGTATTAGTTGTAAGCATTAATTAGGATGGTGGAAGTGAAAGGAATATCCAGCTTGAATCATCAATTCTACCAGGTATGTGTTGCATACAGGATATATATTGTCAAAATATTTCTGACCTAGTTATGGGTTTTTTGCTAAAAAAACTGGCTTTTGGGGGGCCAATAGTGGGCCTAAACACCCTGCACCCCCCCTCCCTTTTGACACCGCCACTGTTTCATAGGAACATATAGATAGGAATTTCCAGTACATTATCAATCAATGAAAACCTGTTTTTAGGAGATAACGTTAACATTTTAAGGTGTACCAAAAAAAGGTTGAGATCGAAAGATGTAAAAATTGAAATCTACTGGTAGACTAGCTGGACATTCCCATGGTGGGTGTTAGGGTGCAATAATTTGTTAAGCATTGGCAGAAAAATAACAAAATATATGACGTATAACTTGACAAAATATTTAAGAAAAATACAAAGCATTTAAGCCAAATTTGATTTTTATCTCTCTAAAGCAGTCTTATAAATGGTTTTAAAATAAACTCTGTCGGAAATTAATATTTCTATTAACCAAGTAAGTAACCATAATAATGAACCATAATGTCATTGTTTATTTATATATAATTTATAGGTAGGGATATGGCGGACAAGGACAATAATATATATTTCTAATAGTGAAACAGAAATTTTATATAAATTATAAATAAATATAAATTATGTTATATAAAATATGCATGCACATATAGGAGTAATACATGTTGGAAATATAGTTATAAATAAAAATAAAAGTTTTGCTGGCACCTAAGTTTGCACCACTCTGTTATTTATCTAGATCATTTCATGAAATAAAGCCAAGCAAAAACTACATTGGCTAATTGACCACCATATTTGCAAAGAAAAGAAAAATCTGCTGAATTTAATCTCTCACTTACCTATTTTCTCTTCCTTTTGTGCCCAGTTAAGAGATCTTTTTATTGCCATTTTCCATCTACTAAATCTTTGGTCTCTTTCTAGAAAAGATAAACATTGAATTTTCTTTCAGATTTAACAGAATTTAAAGAATCTTTAAGAAAAATACACTTTTACCACATTATCTGTACCAAATAATATGTATGCCAACTGGAATACTGATGTAATATGACTTGCTCAAAGTAACCAAAATAAGAACTCACAATCACTTTTCTGAACAACATAAAATTGCAATGCCCCAATAAGAAAAAATACAGATGATATGATTAAATAACTTGTGCTCATCATATGGTGAAGGATCACAGAAAATACTGCAGACCTCCATAAACATTTACTTCAAACACAATGGAGAAGTCACAATACTTTCATTGATATGGCAGTAAATTGTTTATTATAAATAAGAATAGTACAGTCAACAAACCTATATCAGTAATAGAGGGTTTGAAGGTATCTGTAACTATATCTTTAGATTGTAAATTATCTAAATTCCAGATATCAACACCTTCTGCATTGCCTGCTGCCATTGCTGCTCCTAATGCTGTTGTTTCTGTCATTGATGGGCGAACTGAAAAGAACGGTAATGGTTATATAGGTGAATCAAAGTGAATTTGAAATAACATGAGGCACAGACAGGCAGAAAATAGGGTTGGCACAATTACATGCTATAAGGGTTCAAACTTACATCAATACCAAGTACATTAGCAAAAGCAAGTGATATGGTTACGAAGATAACTTTCTGCACCTATCAACATTAATGTTAAGTATAATAAACTTTATATACCCACCTACATTAATGTCAAGTATAATAAACTTTACATACCTACCTACATTAATGTTAAGTATAATAAACTTTATATACCCACCTACATTAATGTTAAGTATAATAAACTTTATATACCTACCTACATTAATGTCAAGTATAATAAACTTTATGTTCCTACCTACATTAATGACAAGTATAATAAACCTTATATACCTACCTACATTAATGTTAAGTATAATAAACTTTATATACCTACCTACATTAATGACAAGTATAATAAACTTTATATACCTACCTACATTAATGTCAAGTATAGTAAACTTTATATACCTACCTACATTAATGACAAGTATAATAAACTTTATGTTCCTACCTACATTAATGACAAGTATAATAAACCTTATATACCTACCTACATTAATGTTAAGTATAATAAACTTTACATACCTACCTACATTAATGTTAAGTATAATAAACTTTATATACCAACCTACATTAATGTTAAGTATAATAAACTTTATATACCTACCTACATTAATGTCAAGTATAATAAACTTTATGTTCCTACCTACATTAATGACAAGTATAATAAACCTTATATACCTACCTACATTAATGTTAAGTATAATAAACTTTATATACCTACCTACATTAATGACAAGTATAATAAACTTTATATACCTACCTACATTAATGTCAAGTATAATAAACTTTATATACCTACCTACATTAATGACAAGTATAATAAACTTTATGTTCCTACCTACATTAATGACAAGTATAATAAACCTTATATACCTACCTACATTAATGTTAAGTATAATAAACTTTACATACCTACCTACATTAATGTTAAGTATAATAAACTTTATGTTCCTACCTACATTAATGACAAGTATAATAAACCTTATATACCTACCTACATTAATGTTAAGTATAATAAACTTTACATACCTACCTACATTAATGACAAGTATAATAAACTTTATGTTCCTACCTACATTAATGACAAGTATAATAAACCTTATATACCTACCTACATTAATGTCAAGTATAATAAACTTTACATACCTACCTACATTAATGACAAGTATAATAAACTTTATGTTCCTACCTACATTAATGACAAGTATAATTAACCTTATATACCTACCTACATTAATGTTAAGTATAATAAACTTTGTATACCCACCTACATTAATGTCAAGTATAATAAACTTTATATACCCACCTACATTAATGTCAAGTATAATAAACTTTATATACCTACCTACATTAATGTTAAGTATAATAAACTTTGTATACCTACCTACATTAATGTCAAGTAAAATAAACTTTCTATACCTACCTATATTAATGTTAAGTATAATAAACTTTATATACCTACCTACATTAATGTCAAGTATAATAAACTTTATATACCCACCTACATTAATGTTAAGTATAATAAACTTTATATACCCACCTACATTAATGTTAAGTATAATAAACTTTACATACCTACCTACATTAATGTTAAGTATAATAAACTTTGTATACCCACCTACATTAATGTCAAGTATAATAAACTTTATATACCCACCTACATTAATGTCAAGTATAATAAACTTTACATACCCACCTACATTAATGTCAAGTATAATAAACTTTATATACCCACCTACATTAATGTCAAGTATAATAAACTTTATATACCCACCTACATTAATGTCAAGTATAATAAACTTTATATACCCACCTTCATTAATGTCAAGTATAATAAACTTTACATACCTACCTACATTAATGTTAAGTATAAAACTAAGCATCAGTAAGTAATATACTTATGTAAGGGAATTGCTATACCTACCTACATTGATGCCAAGTATATCAGCTTGTATCTGCATCAGTAAATTATTAGCTGTCATTCCACCATCAACTTGTAATAAGGCTAAAGGTATACCACTATCTTTATTCATAGCATCTAATACTTCTTTAGTTTGAAAACTAACAGCTTCTAGAGCAGCTCGTGCTATGTGATGTTTATTGGTGTATTGTGTTAAACCACAAATAGTACTGAAAACATACAAATTAACATGCCTTGCAGCATCGACCTTCTTTTCCTATTTCTGTACACATCTTGGTTATTGTTTCCTCCAAACAGCTAGATGACAACAAACAGAGATTCAAAAGCTATGATCAAACCCCAGATCAGTTTGCATCTATCTTGATATGTTTTTCTGCTTCAAATTTCACTGGAAGTTAAATTCTGAAAACTTTATGATTTAAATTAGAAGAGTGGATTTGATAATAAAAAAAGACCTACCCTCTAGCATCATCCTGCCAATAAGGACAGAATAAACCACTAAATGCTGGTACAAAATAACAACCTGCTGTATTTTCTACCTGGTTAGCCAATTTCTCTGTAAAAACAATATTTAAGGCATCACTCAACTAATATTCAGAAGAATTTATTAAAACAGACAACAAACTATGTTAAAATTTGATTTTCAAGCAGGTCAAATTTCCGACATAAAAGTATGAGACTACTATTTTATTCCAATAATATATTTTAGATGTACTGCCTGTTGTGTGTACATCTATATTTTTGTCCAGTTTGAATAATTAAAATTAAATCTGAAAATATCATCTTTATCTGCATTGGGACAGCATCTCAAACATGAAGTTAGTGAACGAACACCATACTGAGAAAATGCAATTATTTGAATAGACACATAATACATACCCACTTCAGGTGCTGATTTTATTATACCTAGATTATCTCTTAACCATTGTATACAGGCTCCAGCTATAGCTACAGCTCCCTATAATAGTTATAGAAGAAAGGATACAATGAACAATTAGTACAGCTGGGATAACCAACCTTATCAAAGTATAGTTCTAGACATACTATTGTTAATTTCCTGTTGGCTACTTCACCATTTCTAAATCTGAATCTGAGGACATCCATCTTCAAATGAAGTGCTGGACAAATCTTTCAATTTAAGTCAGGCTATGTCAACCTCTTTAATTGATCAGGGATTAGTAATAATATCTCAGTTACTTACCTCTAAAGCATAAACAGGTGGTTTATTTTTACCAAGTTTATAAGCTACAGTTGTTAATAATCCAGACTTGGAATCAATAGGCTAAAAATATCAAAATATATTCTTCTGTTAGTTTCTGCAAACTGGCTGCCATAATTCAAAAACATTTTACAACGATGAAAACTTTTTTGAAATATATCTTATGCTATTGGATCTTGATTTGGCATATACAACAAGTATTATCCAGGTTGTTTGAACTGAGCTGTATAGTGTTTCTGGTAAAAGTATGCACTATATTCACAATTATACTGTATCAATGATAGGTACTTACCGTAGGTCCAGTATTATATAACAGAAAACAGCCAGTACCATACCTATATAATTATAAATAGTACAATTGAAACGATAAAAATACCAAACAATCTGATTAATATAATATCTAATAACTTAAATTTCTCTTTTAATATCAAACTGATCACCTAAATTGATAATGCTCGGGCCAAACATACCAACATTTATCATTTTTACATTAAGTCACAGTCATTTTAAGGTGAGTTCAGGTTGGCCTAGCAACAGAACCTTGATGACGAATGAAAAATCTGTTGTCCAGTTGTCAGTCAATGTCTATGTAAGTGTTTCATATCAATACAACAGGTACAATAAGATGCATTGATTGACTGCTGTACCAGTCCTCAAAGATAGAATACTAGAATGTCAGAAAATCTAATAATAGATTTATCATCACTGTATGACACAAGCTACAATTGAATAATGTATACATACGTATTCTTAGCTTGTCCAACAGAAAAACAAGTTTGACCAACTAATGCTGCTTGTTGATCTCCAAGTATCTACAAATGGATTTGAATTTGATAACAAAAAATTGTACAGTATTCTTTGCAGTCTTATAGTTAAATTTAGGGTGTTCATATAAAAATATACATTTTTCTGCTTTTTTGTTGACTATAGAAGGCCAATATTCCATTCATTTATGACTAATAATGACCTAAATCCTCAACCAATCACATTAAATGAAAAGAATATACACTCTATGGATTTTGAATACTTTAAGGCATGCCTATTTTGTTGACTTTCCTTGATCTAGTACACTATACACTAGTACTTCTGTTGAAAAAAACACATATCCTCAACCAATCAAATTTAAGAAAATACACTCAATGGATGTAGAGAAAGGTGTTGAAATGTGTTGAATACACCAGGCAAATCTAAATCTTGATATAAGTATTTATCTAAATATAAAATATATATACCAACCCCAGATATAGGAAGATTTTTTAAAGGTCCATCAACCAAATGACCATATATTTGTGAGGAACTGTGGATGGAAGGTAGGATTGATTTGGGTATATCAAAAAATCTGAAATAAAAAAAAAATACTAAGAAAACCCAATCTCATTTCTTCATTATTACAACATGGATATTGAATATTATTGTACTTATGAAATCAAAAAGGTAATGTGGTATACTATCATTAACAAAGCAATATTAGCTTACACAGCACAGCCTGAAGCATGTAAGGCCTAGCGCTGGGTATCGCCAAACTTGTGATACGATAAATATCATGATATGAGATAATTGGATACAAAGTAACATTTTATTTTCAAAGTTTCAATATTTGGTAATCAGTAGATAGAAGTGGTTAATGTCCATTGTAACATATTTTCCAAATTCACTCTTTCGAAAGTAAGTGAAATTTTTTTGTAATACCCACTTTTTGTGGAAATGAGAGGTATCAATACACGCCCCTAGATACAATACACTTCCCTAGATACAATACACTTATTGTAGCACGATATATCACGATACATCGATTCACTGATATATCATGACAGCATTAGTAAGGCCTCAGTTCATTGTTCAATTTAACTAGACACTTCCTCCAGCCCTTCTATCTTATATCACTGACAGGGTGAACAGAAGGCTAACATGTAGAAACAACATATTCGTCTAATGAGGACCTCTGTGAAAGGGCACACACCAAACTGTGATTTTTTGATTAACTATCCGATAATTTAAGTACTTACTTGCATAGAGTATCATCCCATTGTAAATTATGTAAATTCATTAACATTGTTCTACTAGCATTAGTAACATCAGTTATATGTTGTCCTTTCTCTGGTCCACCAGTTAAATTCTATCAATAAAAATAATGCATTTATAAGTTGAAGATTAATCATAATAAATTTGGGTCACAAATACACAAAATCAATCCCAGAAATCATATGAATTATTAGTTACATTGACTTTTGAATGAGAAATAGACTGGTGTAATCCCCAAGTCACATCATGTATTTAAGTACACTGTATATGGCTTTGTGTGAAAGGAAAATAAAGAAATTTCTTAAAGTAAAAACATTTTCAAAATATGATATATTTGTTTACTTTAACTATTGCTTTTATCATCTCTTAATTCTGAATCTAAATCACCGGGAAGTTACTTACCCAAACTAACCAAGAATCTATAGTACCAAACATACATCTTCCATCTCTTATAGCTTCTCTTACTTTCTCACAATTATCCATTAACCATTTGACTTTCACAGCTGAGAAATACGTAGCTAGAGGTAGACCACAGTAAGGCTAGAAACATAGAACAATTTGAATATACCATTTCAGTTTCCAAAAGCTGTATACGATATATTTATAACATTGTCATTCAAATTGAGTATGGTAATGAAAATTCAAGGAAAATCCTACAAAAAAATTGAAATTTACTGAATAAAGGTTGAGAATCAGAAAACTTACTCTTAGATAATCTTTATCCTTTTCAGGTGTTTTATTGACTAATTCTTCAACTGTCGATGCTGTACGTACATCTAACCATACTACCAAAAAATAGAATTTATTCCGCTGAATAACAAATTTGATTGAACTCAGTTTTTTTTTTTGCAGAGCTAAATGTTACAACAGGATCATGTCTTTATCGTCTTAATTTGTGTGATCTGAATTATTATTACTCTAGTGCTCCAAAACTGTTATATTTATAGTAGAGTTCCATAGGTTGAAACTTACCTATAGCATTGTGTAGAGGTTGTCCAGTAATCTTGTCCCATACTACAGTTGTCTCCCTTTGATTTGTGATACCAATACCTAGGTGAATAATTTAAAAATCAAAACTAATACATACAATACAATTTCTTTTCATAGTTTTAGAGGCTGCCAAAAATATAGCAATCTGATTAAATCGCAAATCTGGATGTTTTGTTTTGTGTTTTTGTTGGGGTGTTTATTGGCATCTATTATATAAATCATAAATTATAATGCATCTCATGTTCAGGGTCATTTAATATTCAACCATTCAATGCTTTGTTCAAAAACCATTTAATCTCCATGTTCAATATTTTTTTCCCTTTAATTCATGATAAAGAGTTCTGGGATATTCAATGTAAAACATTGACTTGCATTGCTACGTTTTTTGGTTAGCATCAATAATGACACCATCAAAACATTCGTAAGGTATGGATTCAAAATGATAATATAATGTATCATTAGATAAATAATAGTCACAACATAACATTAAATGTTTGCAAGTGTCAGGTTTATCTCCATAATTTTTATGGACTATATTTGGGTCACTATTACTAACAAATCATTGTTAAATACTGGAAATAAAGAGTCTCATCAAATAAGACACAACAAAATTCACAATGAATCACCAAGACAGATTCAGCTTTACAGGGATTGATGAATGAACAATTCTTGCATTATTTCTATTATTTACCTACATTTGATATCCACTGGATCTCTACCCAAAACCTTCAGATTATCAACTGCTTTCTCCATACAAGTTTTAACTGATTCCAAAATCTCCATTGGATCTTCCTCCACCCATCTAAAACAACAAATTTTTTTTGGGTCTCAACTGAAAGGACTTTGATTTTAGAATAATATTTTACTTAATTTGTCCTAGTCTTCAGGTACTTAGATTAGTTGGTATACAGTAACTAGCATTAATTACCGTATACATCATGATAAATTGCATAGATTAGGCTTGATGATTTATGAAATTGCAGAACAAAATAATTCTCAATTTCATTACAGAAAAAAATCTTTAAAAATAGCTACAAAACATTGAAAATAAACCATGACAAAAGCTAATGACCTTATTAGTTTTTAAGGCTATTTCAAGCTATCAAATAAAGTCATGAACTTAACATGACCTGTAAAAAATGTTACATTTCAAGTGTCAAGATTCTTGGTTTATCAAATAAGTATACAGGATTTAACGAGTTTTTGATCAGAAAGTATTTTATCAAATGAGATGCATAATATTATTTGTTGACCCTTTTCAAAAAGCTGGCATTACTGATAGTGAGATTTTCTTCATGTTGATGCATGCAGCATCACTTTTAGTCAGTACCATCATATTTCAAAATATTCATAGGGTACTATTATTATCAAAATATAAATATTACAACAAATGCAAATATGATACAAATAGGTCAAATATGTAAAGCTATCATCATAAACATCGTATGTACATAGACAAATAAGTAATTAGGGCCTACTTCACAAACAATGTCTTTGTCAATCATGTAAGCTTATTTAAAGTATTATAATATATCTTACCCATCTCTAGGATAATATTGCTGGATTTCAGTTTGGTGATAAGTTATTAATTCAGCAGTTTGACTTGAAAAGATCTGAAATCAAAAATAGTTACAGTTGTTCATGTTGCTTTACTAATTATTCACTGTAGATATCTATCCTTTACAAAAACAAGACTGTATATATTTAGAAAAACTTGAATCATTTATACTCAAATCTGTTCAAAATTAAACTGAGAGTCTGACATGGAAAAAACACCTATTTGCTTTGATACACAAAAACTAAACAAAAGTGGTAAAACTTTGCTTCCAAAAATTTAATTAAAAGCTTAACTAAGATTGAGCAAAAATGAAGATGAATTGAAAAACAATCAAACAGATATATCAACAAAAAACAATATTCATAAAGTTGTTTATATATATGCATACCTTACTTAATGCACTTATTTTAAATTATATTTATCTTAAAGATTATTGACCTTTAAATTATCAACATTATATCAATGAGAATTTTATCTAATAAAAACATACATCTTTATCTATATAGGATTAAGGCCTATCTTTCTATAACAACAGTTCATTGAGTCTTTTTTAATCATGGTCAGAAGATCGTAATTAATATCAATATCTAGTATTAGTCGGTAACCCATGAAATCATTGAATAAAAAACTGGTCCTGGAGGACTTTTAAGCACATTCAACAACTAGAAAAGATCTGGTTGTGCTGGAATTTCCAGGAAGTCTTGCAAGCATACTGTGGTGATCATGCTTTTTCAGCCGCAGCACCTGTGCTACCAAAAACATATTAATGATGCAATTTCAGTGGACATATTCAAGACTCATCTTAAGACACACTTATTTACGTGCATACCAGATATGAAAAAGCAACCAAGCACCATTGAGTAGAACTTTCTGAGGAATAGATGTTATAAAAATGCATTATTATATTATAATCAGAAACTACAAAATAACATCAATTCAATACATAGGCCAATTCTTCATTGATCTTTGCAATTTTAGAATCCAAGTTGAATTTGAAAACAAAAGCGATGGAAAGATCCCTTAAAATTTTATGTATCCAACATGAACACTGATCAAGTACAATAGATAGCTATTCAATTGACAGTTTATAGCAAATTCAGATAAGAAAAGTAAACAATATATTAGTAGGGTGTAGATATACATGAGAGCCTGAGTGATCTCTAAGGTTATCTGACTCTATTAAGCCCCTTGATATATGACTGATAAGAATATGTAAATTCATACTAAACACACAAATCAGATCTTCAATTTGTATCAAAGAAAAATGTCAATATATTGAACACAAAAAGCTAGATCAGATACAAAACTTTCTACCTACAGTGCGAGGCATGGCATTATCACACATTAAACATCATCTATATCCAATGTATCAAGGGTGGAAACTCGGATACCATTTGTCGAATTAAAGCCAAAAATCAGATAAAAACCGTAGGCACTATCGTGCTTACAAGCCACATTTAACATAATTTTCATGTATCTAGGGTTCAAACTCCAATACCCATTGTCGAATTGTACCCATATTCAAACCTGTCCAAGAACTTATGGATGTAAACATACCCACCAAATTTTATAAAAATTGCCTAGAAACTGTGGACTATATAATAGGGTTCACAAGCGAAGAGGACCGATGGACTTACACTAACAGAGGTGATGACAATATACCTCCACATAAAAAAAATCTTTGATAATATGTTAGTTTGTATATATCGATATTATCTTTTTCATGTATTGTATCATAGCCTTGTATCTGAATTGGTGATCTCATGCACATCATTAGGTATGGTATGGTACATTAAAAGTGATTGGACACATGTATGAGCCAAATATCAAAAACATCCTCAGCATGCAAATTTAATATAACACCAAAATAAATGAATATTATTGGGCAGTGATAGGCTCTTGAAGCAGATTATAAGATATAACTTTGTGCTTGAAACTGATGACTTCAGACTGACTGAGGAAATATCACAAATTATTACAGTACTACTTCTACCACATGAAAGGAATGTCACAAACCAGTTTGTGGACATAAAAGATTTTAAGATTTAATAACCAGCTATCATTATGCTAAACTGAGTTTTGGGAGTGTTAGATATCAACCTTATCACATTCAGCATACAAATTACTTTATGAAAAGCTGTGAAAAATTGACCAAATATTCAAGTATTCATGAATAACATTTGAATAATAAATTTTATGTCATTGAAAAGATTTACAATGTCATTTAGTTTGAAGGACATTTTTGTATTAAATTATGATATAAAATGATGTCAACTAGTCAGTTATAATAAAGAAGAGCATGTCAATATTTAGAACAACAATTTGTCAGAGAATTCACTGACTCGCAGATTTCTCCAGTCTTCGACAAGGGTATGGACAAAGCAAGGCCAGATGTTAGAGGCTTGCTTGCAATCATTTTAGAAATTGAGTTCTTCAAAAATATAGGCATAGAGGAATGCACCCCACATACTAAAGCTTCTCCCTTTGATTTAAATATAATAGATCTGCTGAATATCATTTCACAAATACATAGTATGCTTCAGAAAACATAGAATAAAGTTCATAAGTCCAAAGTGCACAATTTAAATACTTTAAAAAGGGACTTTGTGTCTCTCAGTAAGCTTATTTCGCTGGTAATAATAATTGGACTAAACCAAATATTGGTTTTAATAAGTTCATAATGAAATCACTTGTAATATTCACTGACAACACTATCTTTATTTTATTCTAAACACCACTAAAGTAAGGTTTTAACCAATAGAGATATAGGAGCAAAACATTGGCCTACTGATAAATTTCGTCTGCTATATATTTCATAACTGATGATGCAAGAGAAACAACAAAATTTAGACAAATTTGGATTTAATAGTTTGCCTTTAATATCATTTGCTTAAGAGTGGGTTGCAACAAAAAGTTATATGGAGGCCAAAAATGGATTAGAATCAAGTTCTATTTGATAATTGCTCCAAACACTCACCAGAAATCGTGTGCTACTTGTTCCTTGGTCCACAGCTCCAACGAGCGGCTTTCTTGATGTCGCCATTACTGTACCGGATATTCAGTGAGTGACCTTAACAAGAGTTAACTCCCTTTGTACATTTTTAAGCAACTCTATTTACAGGGACAGATCAAGGTGTCAAATAATTGAATTTGAATATTATACATGAATTTGGTGATATTAACCTTTTAATAATTACTAGAATATTTTATCTAACCTAAAGTTATTGTGCTATTTTAATCTCCGTAACCTTAGTAAAATTCGTAAAAATATTCCCTCTTCCTCTGTTAAAACTCTAGTACAAGCATTGATCACCTCCCGTTTAGACAACTGTAATTCATTATTAATCGGTTCACCTCTACGCATTACCAACAAGCTACAGAAAGTTCAAAATGCAGCAGCACGACTCATCACTGGCAAAAAATATCACGACCACATTACACCAATTTTAATCGACCTTCACTGGCTACCTATTATTTTTAGAATCCAATTCAAGAACCTCCTTTTAACTTTTAAATGTATAAACGATATTGCACCTCACTATTTATCATAAATCAGCCAGACTTTTAACTTTCGGCGAGCGCTCTTTTACCGTCCAGACCCCCAAACTTTGGAATGTTTTACCTAACTGAATCTATATCCATTACTTTTCCCTAGAAAAATGGTTTGCACCCCAATTTAACCTCCACTCTCAATATATCTTTTATTATACGTTTTTGCCCCCAATCAATACTATGTTTCGAAAATTATCTTGGGAAAGACGCGGTAAATGGCAGGTGTCGTCTTCAGCAGTTCTATAAAGCTTCTCATTTTGACTTTTAACCTTGACAGTTTTCTTTCCCCAAGTCAGTCTGCCTCCTGTTTGCACCACAGTCACCACTGGCTGGCACCACCACTGGGTTTCAGACAATATTGCCCAATGTACGCTCTATTTCGCTTTCTTTACCAATGTCTGTGGTTTCTGTAGCATAATTCGAGTTGAAAACATAGGCTTTTTCAAGTGATTATCAGAAACAAGGTTTTTTGAAGAGACTATCAGAAACAAAGTTCATGCCAAATGATAGGCCTAATCGCAATTGAAAAATCATAATCAACAACTAACTGATTTGTTCTTGAAAACAATAGCCTATTGACTATCCAGTTGCCTGTTGACTATCCAGCAAAGCATCTTCAGCAATGTTTTCTCTGTTACAAAAAGCTCGTAAATTAAATCTCGATGTAGATACACAGATACAGTTGTTTAATTTTCTTGTAGTACCTATTGCCTTGTACGGTTGTGAGATATGGGGTTCCACTGATAACACACTGTTAGAAAAACTTCTACCCCAAGTGTCATGGTCTATGGTGAGCTTGGTGTATATCCTTTGCAAATTTATATAAAATATAGAATGGTTAATTACTGGTATAAACTTGTAACTGGTCCTCAATCGAAAATTGTCTGTGAATTGCATAATGCTCTGTATACATCATACGAGTCTAATATATGGTTGAACTCCATAAAAAGCACTTTAGACAGTGCTGGGTTGTCTTATATTTGGGACACCCAAGCCCGTGATATTAATGCTAACTGGTTGAAACAATTTTTACTGTTAAGGCTAAAAGATCAATACCAACAAGAATGGAATAACACTGTACATAATTCTAGTAAATGCTTAAATTATCGGCTGCTTAAATCCACGTTCAATTTTGAACATTACCTAATTGATTTACCTCTGAAGTACAGCCAATACTTTAGTAAATTTAGATGTCGAAGTCATAGACTTCCAATTGAAGCCGGGGTTTTCATAAATATCCCAGTAGGAAATCGTATTTGCTCTCTCTGCAATGAAGATGAAGTAGGTGATGAATTCCATTACATTTTCAAATGCCAAATCCTCAAGAACGAACGCATTAAATTTGTGAAAAAATATTACCTCAAGCATCCTTCAGTTATTAATATGTATAACTTATTTAATAGCCAAGGCACAGAGTTGGAGAATCCATGTAAATTCATCTCTATTATTGTACATAAATTTAAATGAACACTGAGAGTTATAAATGTTATAAGGTGTCAGATTACACTAACTGTAGATATTATTAATCCATACTGTCACTAACTGTAAATATTATGTGTATATTATATTCATGTGTCTCAATGAGATTTGAATAAAGATATCATTATTATTATTATTATTAGTTGTTGAGCCTATTGACTATCCAGTTGTTGGACCTACTGACTACCCAGTTGTTGAGTCTATTTACTACCCACGGTTGTTGAACCTATTGAGTCTATTGACTATCCACGGTTGTTGAACCTATTGAGTCTATTGACTATCAACGGTTGTTGAGCCTATTGAGTCTATTGACTACCCACGGTTGTTGAGCCTATCGAATCTATTGACTAAACACGGTTGTTGAATCTATTGAGTCAATTGACTACCCACGGTTGTTGAGCCTATTGAGTCTATTGACTACCCACGGTTGTTGAACCTATTGAGTCTATTGACTGCCAACGGTTGTTGAGCCTATTGAGTCTATTGACTACCCACGGTTGTTGAGCCTATTGAGTCTATTGACTACCCACGGTTGTTGAGCCTATTGAGTCTATTGACTACCCACGGTTGTTGAACCTATTGAGTCTATTGACTGCCAACGGTTGTTGAGCCTATTGAGTCTATTGACTACCCACGGTTGTTGAGCCTATTGAGTCTATTGACTACTCACAGTTGTTGAGCCTATTGAGTCTATTGACTACCCACGGTTGTTGAACCTATTGAGTCTATTGACTGCCAACGGTTGTTGAGCCTATTGAGTCTATTGACTACCCACGGTTGTTGAGCCTATTGAGTCTATTGACTACTCACAGCTGTTGAGCCTATTGAGTCTATTGACTACCCACGGTTGTTGAGACTATTGAGTCTATTGACTACCAACGGTTGTTGAGCCTATTGAGTCTATTGACTACCCACGGTTGTTGAGCCTATTGAGTCTATTGACTACCAACGGTTGTTGAGCCTATTGAGTCTATTGACTACTCACAGTTGTTGAGCCTATTGAGCCTATCGACTACTCACAGTTTTGAGCCTATTGATTATTGACTATCTAGGTGTTGAGTCTTTTGACTATCCAGGTTGAGTCTTTTGACTATCTGCGTTTTTTTAGCCTTTTGACTATTAAGTTCTTCAGCCTATTGACTATTAAGTTCTCCAGCCTAATGACTATTAAGTTGTTGAGCATATTGACTATCCATGGCTTCGGCCTATTGACTATTTAGGTGTTGAGCCTTTGACTATCCAGTTGTTGAGCCTTTTGACTATCGGCATTTTTTTAGCCTATTGACTATCCAGTGCTTGAGCCTATTGACTATTAAGTTTTTGAGCCTATTGACTATTAAGTTCTTCAGCATTATGACTATCCAGTTTTTCAACCTATTGGCTATCCAGTTCTTGAGCCTATTGACTATTAAGTTTTTGAGCCTATTGACTATTAAGTTCTTCAGCATTATGACTATCCAGTTTTTCAACCAATTGACTATCCAGTTCTTCAGCCTATTGACTATCCAGCCGTTCGGTTGAGGCGGACTCCGTTGGACTGTCAGATGGACTCGAAATCTGAATCAAAAAGTCGAAAATAATCAAGTTCTGCTTCAATATTATAAAACAGAGGCGTCTGTCAACTGTTGCGACGATTGATCAGATCAGATTGCTAGAAGTCGTCGAAAATTCTTTTTCTCAGATTTTGACAGTTGAATCGGCCTGAATACCGGCCCTTCCCTTTTTTCATCTCTGTTAGCTAACACTACAAGTACCTGACTTGTATACCAATCTAATGTGGGTACCATATATTTGAAATAACCTTCATGAATAATAGTTTAAATATATCCTGGTAGATTTGGTAGAAATGTGGCTTTAATCAACAGAATGATATATAAAGTCTTTTGTTACTATATTTTCTTTGATGTGATATATTGGTCTTTAGAAGTATTAGATCTGACTAACTCTTCAAAATTACTCAAATTGTCATTAACATGATGGCTGAAAATTCATGTGAACTGGAAACCGTCGGGGAATATTTTCTCAGCAACAGTTGCTGAAGGGGTAAGACGAGGACTTGTATTGGTTCATTGATTCATATTGACCAATGCGAAAGACAAAATTTATGTTTCACGACCTTCACACTTCAATCCTGACTATTTGGCTTAAGCTATGCCACTCGGGAGCGGATGGCTTTTCAGAAACGCATTTGTTCATTCTTTTTTGTCTGCGAAGTTAAAGGGAGAGATTCGTCATCAGTTATATAGGCAAAGTGCTCTCACCGTCGAAATTTAATCCTTCAAGTGCCAGAATTATCCGCGTTTGAAATATAAAATTTCCTATATAGAAAAAGCATATAAAGAAATAGAAAGAGAAATTCCGCGATCAGGGTATTTTCGAAGGAATTAATTAAGCGATTTTAGTACATTTCTAGTTCTTTTGAAGACTATTAATAACACATACCTAAGACACAAATCAACCCCGAAAAATGCCGAAACAGCCCCTTTAATATTTAACAGGTTGGGCTGGCCCTGAAAGCCCCACCCTAGTTTCCTTACACACAATGTTGCTGTATTTATCCTAACCACTGATTAAAGCATTCTATTTTCAGAATGAATCTTGATGATTTAATTTGTAGTGCATGATAAAATAAAAGTAGCGTGTCGGATTGTTTTCTAAGTAGCTCAGTATGATAAATATAAATAGATGAAGATTAGGTGCTCTGACAGATCTACTCTCTACAAATACAATCAACATCATTTACCTTACTCGTTCCCATGGCAACGTTTCGTAGATAAGAATATAACGAAGAGATTTTACTTTCTTTTAATTACTATTCTTGCTGTTACTGTTAAACATGCCATGAGTAGGTCTATATTATAAATATACCTAATAACATGATTAGTATGAAACTATTTCTGTGGAATTCCATCAAGATATGGTGATCCAGAAGAATAAGCAGAGGATGTCTATTGTCTAGTAGCAACACGGGCTTTAGGCCTCGATTCTTATTGTGCAAGACTCTGCCTAAATTG